ATTGGGAGCATACACATTATTGTACTAGGATAGATTTTTTGGATGTATTTGAACATAACGCTGAAATAGGCACAAGAATAACGTTCGGGGTCATATGCAGGGGAGAGCGGATGACGGTATAGGAATTATCCAATTCAATATTAGAAGTTTACAAAGGCACTATAACGAACTATTGTTATATGTTGAGAAGGCAAAAGATTTCCTAAATATAGTTGTACTGTTGGAAACCGGAAATATTGAAAACATCGATGACTTTCCTATCCCAAACTATATTATTCACTACAACGAACACTTATAAATAAATGTGATGGTGTTATAATATATACTAAAATCAGACCATCAGCAGAAGTAAAAACGGTTCAAATAAATGAGAGTAAATTTCTTATGTCAACTTGCTTGTCTAACGACATATTATAGAACCCCAGCAACAGACCCCAAAAGGAATATGGAAGATCTAGACGCATACTTAAATAGTTTACATAAACAAAACCTTGAAGTATATGTAGGGGATATGAATATCAACAATCATTTAAATATTATGAATTCAAATGGTTACATATCATACATAAACAAACCAACGAGAGTTACAAAAGACACAAAATCTACGATCGACCATATTTTCGCCAAAATACAAAACAACTTAAAAAATTAAATTGAAAATGAGCATGTCAAATTTCTAACCGATATGACAGACCATTATACACCTTATGTATACTTTTACCTACCCTATGAAACCACCAAAGAGAAAAGCACAAACAAAACAAGTAACATAAACTATGAGGAATTGAAAAATATTTTAAAGGAAGAAAAATGGAAAAAAGTCCTTCATTCAAACGAGTCACAATCATCATACCAACTCTTTATTGATAATTTAAATGAAAACATTATTGAATCAACTAAAGTGCAAAATTCCTTCAGAAATAAATACTACAAAAAAATTAAACCATGGATCACTGTTTGTCTTATCACATCTATCGAACACAACGAACGCCTGAAAAGAAAACTCATTAGAAATTTCGATAATGAAACTGAAAAAGAATACAAAGAATACAGAAATAAACTTAATACCTTGATCAGAACAACAAAAAATGAATTTTATCAAAATATAATAGCAGAAGCAGTAAACAAGTAAAAAAACAATTAAGACGGTTATCAATCATATAACAGGGCAGAATAAAAAATCAAATAAACAAATAGACAACACTCCAATAACCAGTAGAGTTGGTGAAATATTAACAAATATAAAGATAAAGCAAATATATTTAATGAATTCTTGAAACTTGGGTATAAATATGTCTGAAAAATACAAATTATTGATATGAAACAAAACCTTCCTGAAAGTGACAAAATTGACTCAACCATTGTTCTTGAACCTGTAACGGGAAACAAAATTATTATTCATCTATCAAACCCAAAAATTAAATGTTCCTCGGACCCAGATAAAGTCTCTGTGAAAACTATAAAAACTATACATGAATACATAATACACCTATCAATCCAATCTTTCAAGTGAAAACAATGAAAAGAATCACTCATCACTCCAATTTTCAAGACAGGTAACCGTTGTCAAATAAATAACTACAGGCCAATACTCGTCATCAATAATCTAGCAAAAATCTTTGAACAAATAGTTAAAAAAAAGATTGACGGAATTATTTCGCAGACACAACGGTCATTACTGACAGGTAGTATGGTTTCATCCAAAATTCAAACACTGAAAACGCAGCAGTTGATTTTCTAGAGCAAACAGTCGAGGCCCTGGACAAAACATCGAAATGCATAGCAGGTTTTCTAGATCTCGTTAAGGCCTTTGACACAGTATCACACAAAATTCTACTAAACAAATTGAGTCACTACGGTATTCATGGTCTCCCACAAATTCTCATGTCCAATTATTCAACAAATAGAGTCCAGAGAGTAAAAATTAGGAATGAGGTAAGTAAGGATGAGTCAATAATGAAAATCGGGGTGCCTCAAGAAACAGTGTTGGGCCCAATACTATTTCTTTCATACATGAACAATATAGCAAAAATGGATGGTCTAGGACACCTTATTTGTTATGCTGACGACACAGCCTTCATCTGCGCGGGACAGAATTGGGAAAATGTTAAATACACCACCGAAACAAATTTACAATATATGCATTTGAATAAGCCTACTCTGAATATTGATAAAACTAAATTTGTTGCCTTTTCACCAACGGTCATTAGTTTTAAGAAATATGTTTGAAATATGTCATTGATTAAATATTTAGGGGTAGTCCTAGATCAACACATACGATGATCTGATCATATCATGCATGTAAACAAACGCCTTAGAACACTTAATTATACACAGTTTTTATTCTCTAAGAAACATCCTCTCCAGAAAAAACCTCATGATGCTCTACAACTCCCTAGTCGAATCAATTCTGCATCACAATATGGGGTGGAGCCATCAACAATGCACTGAACATTATACAAACAACACAAAACATACTATTAAAAATCATCCTGAAAAAAAATAAACGTTTTTCCACTTGTAAGCTATATCAGGAAGCAAATATATTAAATGTTAAACTATTGTACACTCACCAATGTTTGAAGAGAATGTTCATAAATCAAGAGAAATTCAACCAGAAAAATACTAGGATAAACAAGCCTACCACAAACATGAATGTTAATATCCAATCCTTTAAAAAACATTAACACAAAAAACATTATTTTTCCTCGTTCCCAAATTTTTCAACGCCTTACCAATTGACCTAAAACAAATTTCAAAAATGAAGAAATACTGTCAAATATAGGAAATAAACATGAAATAATTCAGATTCATTTAAGTAAATATGTGAATTAAAAGATATTCCAACCTCACTTCAATATTTTAACACAAGAACACTCAGTATTGAGAATTCCATCTTTTAATATTTCAAGTTCATAGACATCGAAATTGATCCGATCACAGGATATAGAATATAAAACAATCTCCAAATACGCAAACTTTGCACAGATTGCATGCAGTGCATTTTACCTTAGTACAGTGACCGGATCAAAGTCACAATGTCAGCGTATAAGTCTTTATAAATATTGAGGGAGGTCAAGATCATGGACAGTTAACAGACAACAGACAGTATTCATTTAAGTATCGATTAATCATCAGCAATACAGCACATCTCCTTTTCTTCGATCCTGCTGGGTGGCAGTATAATGTAAGTTTTCTGATTGTTTTAATATATTATTTTTATTAACATTTGAGTGTGAGTTAATCCAAAATATGTTTTTCGTTTCTATTACAATAAATATTTAATCAAGTTTTAAATGAGTTCTTTCATTATTTTTGGATGAATGAATGAATGGGTGAAACAGCAAATAAAAATCCTCTCGTTAATAACCAAGCGAGAACTGAGTTGCGACACGTGGTGGAGGCGCCTCTTTCGTTCTCGGGGGCTTCATTCTTCATAATGGGCCTGTGAAACTAATTTTCCGATACAAAAAGTTGAATTGTTCAAGTATTAATAATATTCTGTGGTAATTAGCTGAAAAGTGTATTTTTCTTTTGTTTGAGAATAATGAGAGAATTTAATAGCTGTTTCATCCAGTAAAATTACAGTTTTTCCTTCTTTTTAATATATTTCAAATAAATGTTTTTTTTTGATTGTTTAATGATTAATTCTGAATGTGTTATAAGTTGGTTTTTGTGCTTCAATTATTTTTTAAATCCATATACAACAAATCATTGGAACATAGTTTATCCTTAACCTATTATTTCATTCAATTTTCCATGTTCCCTTTCTCCTCAAATTATGAGTGATACACTTTCTAATAACTGTTCATCAGGTCGGTCGGTAGCCAAGCGGTTCGGCGTGGGTGATTTGTTCACTCACTCGAATTGACTGCCGTGTTGGTCGGTGGTTCAAGCCCTAGTCTGAACGATCGATCTTCACTTGCTATCGTTCAACGCGTGTTAGGAATCACACGTTAAAAGCTAAGACCTCGTTAATCCATAGCTCGCACAAGTTTTGCCTTCTGAGGGTTGTCGTTCGTAGGGGTGCGACAGCTGGTTAACGAAAAGAACAGATTTTCAACAGATTTTTTTTTTTCAGAAAGAAAAGTATTACTGAAGTTGAGCAATCATAAAGAATATCTGTTCATTCAGCTTCTTATGATTGTCAATAGAATAATTTGACAAAATTTTTCATAGGTATTTTGTCTGTAAATTTCGAGAGTATGAGCGGTACATTTTCCAAAATCTGTTTCATCAGCTTGGAACTGTACTGTTGAGATTGGCTAAACGTATGGAATACCTGTTCATCCAGCTCCGTACGATTACCCATTACATGATTTCGAAATTTTGCACACGTATCTGACTTTTTGAAAAATAAATGATACACCTACCAATATCTGTTTCATCAGCTTGGGAATGTGTATCATAATATCAATTAGTTGGATTCATAATATATTCCTTGTTCCCAATCATCCTTTGATAATTTATTGGTAATGACTCGAAAAAAATTATAGTAATCATCAACGTCAGCTCATTAAGTTTTTCCTGTGTTCGATTCATCGTCCATATCAATAAGGTTTATTTTGTAACACATGCATTTTTTCTGATTTTGCTACTCTTTTATAATCATAAGAGTGAGTTGTCATATGTAATTGAAGTTTAAATTGAAGTCTAAAAATTTTTATGACATACTGAATACAAAATCAACTTAAAAAAAATACGAAGTGTTGACATCCTCTCCCCTGTGTTGATCACATACGGAAGTAAAATATTCAATATAAGAAATCTAGTTTATTTTGCATACTCACCATGATACTCTGTGCTCTAATTTTAATGAAATACAAATTGAAATGAATTGAATGCATTACATTTTTTTTTATTTTAATCTGGCCTGCCTACACATTCTAAAATTGATATATTGCCTTCTGCAAAATTGATTTTGACACCTCTGATTTAGAGTATCATTCGAGGTCAACCCGTAATCCTGATTGAAAACACGTCGTATAAAGTTTATAATTGTTAATAAAAATAAGTTTCGAAACACTCTGTATTATCGAAACATTAGCATTTGGAATGTGGATTGCATAGGTCATGTTAGAGATTTCAGATAAGTCATTATCATTACTCCATTTCCTCAGCATAAACAAATTTAATTTTGTACATCGGTTTGAAGTTACACGAAAGTAAGTTGTTTTTGCATGTTGCTAATAATTCTTGATATTTATTTATTCATTGAATCATTCAATGGGATCTCCAGCATACACAAAATTATGAATTGACATTATGTAGTGAAGTAATACAGAACTATCAAATAACTTATGTTTCCATAAAAACATATAGTACTTAATAAAAATAGTATACTATGAAGTAATACAGAACTATCAATTAACTTATGTTTCCATAAAAACATATAGTACTTAATAAAAATGGTATACTATGCAGTTGAGAATAAGGCTAAAATGATTTAATGAATACACACTCAAGACTATGTAAAACAAAGAATCCAAGAAGTTTGGCATTATGTAAAAAGTGTGTGATCCAAAGTTGGAGGAGTCGATTCACTTAAGAATATACGCTTATACGAAGTCATATAAGTGTTGTTAAGTATCAATTCAGTTTATGCCTTATTCAACTCACGTAGCTGATTTTTCATAAATCTCAAACAACAAATAAAACCGTCAGTCGCATTTTTACAGGAAATCAGATTCATCAGCATACTGGACTCGTTGCTGACAATCTTTACATTCGCACAGATATTCAGCTACTCACGATTTTTTACTTTTGTTAACAATGAAGTTCAATCACTATTTCATTACCATAAGATAACGTAGAATAAATCCAAAACAAGCACTGTGTCCAAACATCAGAACTGTAACACTCTTCTCGACGAGCATTTCACCAACAATTGTATCATCAGGATAACTTCGACAAAATTCATGCTGATTTAAAAACAGACATGAAAACAATTTTAGGTTGGCTTCAAGAGAATGAATTAACTCTAAATTTTCAAAAATCTTCGTATATGAATATTTATAAAAGATTATCGAACATTTGTACCAATCCTAGAAGTATTGATAACAATTCAATAAGTTATGCGAATTCTATCAAATTCCTAGGATTATATATTGATGAAAATGTATCGTGGACAAAACATATTGAAATTATTTTAAAAAAGTAGCACCCGTCATTGGTACTCTATTCAAAATCAGAAACTATATTTCTCTTGAATTTTTGAAAAATATCTATTTCAGTCCTACATACTCACAACTACATTATCTCATTTCTATCAGCCAATAAATCCATGATAAAACCTTTGAAATCTTTACAAAACTAAACTATCAAATGTATATATAAATTAGCGTTATCAGTGAATTTGTGTAAACCAAAATATTCATTAGATTTAAACACGCTTTACAGAAAAAAATTTGTTGATTCTTTCATTCAATAACAAATAAATCGAAAATTTCAAACATAAGTTTCACAGAAATCAATAATATTCATTGTCATAACACGAGGCAAACAAAATCATCAGTTAGTAATTTCAAATCTAATTGATGCTCTCAAACTCAAAAATCAATCGAAAAAGTATTCAACGAATTAAATTAAAAATACAGGATTGAATGTTTTTCATATAGCAAACTTTTTAGTTTACCCCGATAAGTTACTGCGTAAAATTAAAGTATTTTTCAGTAACTTGTTGTATTTAACAATTTTGTCTATCAAAAAAATTGTTAAGAAATAATGCAATACTTATCTTAACGTTTCGGAGGCCAAAATCTGCCTCCGTCTTCAGAAATGGACAAAAAAATTCTAATATATTGGCAGTTATTCCTTTTTGATTATTTATTTCTTTACTTCTTCGACAGATGTCAAATGAGTTATGAAATTATGTCAATGTTGTTGATTGACAACTGAAACATCGATGTAATACAAGGTGCTCTCCGATATCAGTTTGTTGCCATTTCGCCACTATCCAAATTTTTCTTCAAGATGGGTAGCCAAGTACGGTCTATTTCTGAGGAGCCATTCGAAATACAATTCTCTCCAGATATGAGAACTATATTTTAATGCTTGGCTGGGATTATCAGTTTTTAAAAATTATTACATACGATGAAGTTTCGAAAATTTAAAATATGTTTCATTGAATTGCAACAACAAATGTTAAAATATATTTCACTGTAACAAAAATAACCTAACCTAACCTAACTTGAAAATAACAATAAATACAGAAAAAATCCAAACAGCTGAAACTATAATCAATTGGATTGGATTGGATTGGATTGGATTGGATTGGATTGGATTGGATTGGATTGGATTGAATTGGATTGGATTGGATATTGTCGTGACTGTGAATAATACAGTGCGACGGTATTACGGTACTAAGGGTTGGAACTTCATTACTGGAATGCTAGATGACGTTAAAGTAGCTAGATAGATACATAAAAAAAATGTTTCAATAAAAAGTATCCTATGTTACTTCTAGTACCTCCAAGAACATGTGTACAAAATTTGATGATGATCGGTTGAGTAGTTATCGCGTGAAACCGTAACAAACAAACTTACATTCGCATTTATAATATTAGTAGGGATTAAATATGGATGATTATTAATAATTTCGTTGAAAAAATCATTTTAGTTTTTAATACCTATTAACAAAATCAATATTCACTGCTCATATTAATTGTTTGTGTTTTTTTTTGTTCAATATTTCATTATTTTGTTAAATTTGTATCTTTAGTTAATTTAGTTAATTCCTATTCATACATATTTGATGTTTCTTGGGATCATAAAGACAATACAATATTTTCATTTTTATTTGGCTGATTGTTATTTTTTAACAAAATAAAACGTTCTGAAAAACCATCCCATGAGTTTTGGCACGGTATAAAAATAATGGGAATACAGAAACACTGTTAGTGGTATAAACTGATTCAAATTCAAGGGATAAAGCAAGATTGTATGCATTAGAGGAATATTTGTTAGCTAGAGGGTGAAAATGCTTTAAAAAATGCTGATGATGGGTTCATCGATGATTTGAACATATTCAATAACCAGATTTGTATTGCTAGTTGAATTTCGTGGAAGGATGTGTTGATAGTGTTCATTAAAAAACGTGAAAGCAAAAACAAATATATCTGGCATGAATGTGTAAAAATATATGCAATTCGTACAGAAATTGTTTATTACGCTCGATGTGTTGTCAATTTCAGTCGCGTGCAAATACACCTTTACTTTTTCTACTTACTGCATAACTATTTAAGACTTACCATACAACATGCACTAGAGCTCTATGGTGCTTCCGGTGCTAGGAGTCCGTCTCGAAGGCGGTATCTGTATGTACGAGGTATGTTCAAAAAATTAGGTGAATTTTCATTTTCCTAAAAAAATATTCATTTATTCATTAATTTCTATTTTGTGCCCTTCAACGTATTCCACCTCAGATATAATACACTTGTGCCAGCGTTTTTCGAAGCAGTTCTGATACGCACTTTTTGGTATGTCCTTAAGCTCATTCAGCGATTCAGTTTTTATCTCCTCAATCGTCGCAAAATGCCGTCTTTCATGGGTATCTCCAATCTTCAGAACAGGAAAAAGTCACAAGAGGGCAAATCTGGTGAATACGGTGTCTGAGGCTGGTGGCTGGTGAATACGGTGTTGTTTTTGGTCAAAAAATGCGAACGAACAATGACGAGTGAGCGGGTACATTATCGTAATGCAAAAGCCCTGAATTGTTATTTCACAATACTGGACGTTTTCTTCGTATTACTTCTCGCAAGCGGCGCATAACTTCAAGATAATACTCCTCATTGATTATATGACCATGTGGCAGGAACTCCTCATGCACTACGCCACGGTAATCGAAGAAAACAGTGAGCAAAACATTGACATTTGATCGAACTTGGCGTGCTTTTAGGGTCTTGGCTCCCCTGGGCTCTTACATTGGAAAGATTGGACGTTGGTTTCGATGTCATAACCATATACCCATGAATCGTCACCAGTTATGACCCTTTCAAGCAAATCTGAATCGCCGTTGACGTCATTCAACCATTTTGGAACGAACTTTGCTGCCACACGCTACATGGCCAAAATTTACGAAAAAATGGCATGGCATGAGCCAACCGATATGCCGACTCCTCAGCAAATTCTCTAATAATGATTCGACGATTCTGCATAACAATATTCTTTACTTTCTCAACATTTTCATCTGTTGTTGATATGCTGGAGTGTCCGGGGTGAGCGTCGTCATTCACATCTTCTTGACCTTCTGTGAAAAGCTTGTAACACTTGTAAACATTTTTCTGACTCAGAGTACAACCTCCATATGCTAGTGTCAACATTTCAAGTGTTTTTGAGCACTTGATTCAATTTTTTGCACAAAATTCAATGTAAATTCTTTTATCCATTTTTTTCTTCAGCAGAAAATCGCCGAACACGCGAAACACTTCTAACTTGTATGCCTCTCGCCAACAAACTAAACATGCTCATCAGCTGAAACTCTTAACATATGTTCGACACGAATCAACCAACATAAAAAAATAAAAAATCGCTAATCGATTGTAGGCAGCCCGCGAAATTTGAACATTCACCTTATTTTTTGAACAGACCTGGTATACAGTACTATACAATAAGTCTAGTCATCATTTCACTCTCATGACTAGGACAATGTGCGCATAGGTGGCAATAGGGTTCTAATTCAAATCATGAATCTTGGGACATTGTTGGAGTATTCCTTGAATAAAAATATCATTTGTGTGTGACAGCCCCTCACACTATCCTTGGAATGGTGCGTCACCTACCACAATCGACTTGGTCATGAATAAAAACGTCAAAATTCAGAAAGTAAATTAGTACTAAGAAGCCGGCATGATCTTTATATTTGACAGTAGAGAAGGCGCCATTCCACCAAAAACTCCTATAATCAAAACAAACATTTTGACATAGTAATCTGGATAGTCTGTGAAGTTCGAAGAGAAAATCTCGAAATTCTATTCGTTTTTCCTCCTCTTTTCGGACGATATACATCTCGCCGGGAGCTGAAAACTCCACGAAGAATATCGTCTTGCTCTGAACTACATCAGGCTTATCAGCTAGTATAATCCTGAGGATGGGGAATGAATAGTTCCAATAAATTCGGTACTTCTCGTTCCTCACAACGGATTCAATATCCCAGGGAGCGCAGGGCTCGTCAATAACGTATTATTATTATTATTATATCCTCCACGTTACTGAACCCATGGAGGATGACCTAAAACGCTAAATGCAAACACACCGATTTTGGACGGCCGATTTTATACCGGTCATCCAAATTCCAATAGTGAACCACATATGGGTACGGGACCTGGCACACACGCCGACCGGTGATCACCGGTAAGCATGTGTGCCAGGTCCCGTTGCCACATGTAGTTCACTATTGGAATTTGGACGAGCAGTATAAAATCGGCCATCCACAATCGGTGTGTGTGCAATTAGCCTAAACATCGACCAATGCCGACCACAGAAAGTGGCACTGAGCTTGCAATAACAGGTATACAAAAGAAGGCATCATTAGGAAAATAATTCGCCAGCGTTCACTAAATACTCCTCAATGAATGCAATGTTTATAGAGAGATTACCAGAACGGTCAAGATCGTGAGAGACATTCCATGACATTCAATGGGTAGGGTGAAAATAATACTTTACAATTCACACAACACTAAAATTCAATGCTAACATCTATTTCAACACACTGTATCATCTTCTGAGAAGATGACACAGTGTGTCTATAAACAGCTGTTAGCATTAACTGTTAGTGTTGTGTACAATGTGAAGTATTATTTTCACCCTACCCATTCAATTAAAATGAATTTGCACATATTAGAAGCCTAAAATGTTGAACACATTCTATGTCCCCCAATCTCGGATAATGACTATGCAAAACTGAAAACTGACTATTCAGAGGTAAAAGCCGTTGTTGGTAAGCTCCCCGCGATCTCACTACTCAGCTCGATTAGCGAAGATCGTTGATAACATGATAACAACAAGTAGATTTATTCGTCTGTAGAAACAGATTAAACTCAACCCCTAAGAGCATTTTGGCTTTCGACAGGGATGTACTCGAAGTACCACGTATCAGTCTGGTCCAGGGTGTAAAGGAGTCCAGAAAATTTTCAATTAAAGCAGATGTCCCGCAAGGGTCCTGCTTATCATAAAGCATTACATTCTTATTTTTCAAGGACAAACGTTATTATATATGTGGACAACGCCAAAATTATGTGCTTTCGTTCTCAAGTGAAATCGCAAAAACAAGTTTAAATACACATTCATCGGTTAGTCGTTCCGTATATGGAGAATAAGAAAATAAGGATTGATCCTGATAAAACTGAAATGGTTAACTTACGATGGTTACGCATCGAGGGAAGATGTGCTGAGAAACAAAGAAGTTCTCGATATCTGGGAGTTATTCTGATTAGGCGCCTGCATTTTCAGGAATATTTCAACAATTTACTGCTGAACTGAGTGTTGACAACAATTTGCTCATTTACAAACAAGTAATAAAACCGAGTATGCTATATGTTTGTCCTGTGTTCTGCAGTCTCAAAAAGACCTCGTTTACATGTTTCGAGAGAATGTGCTTCGTATCTGCACAAATATTGACGAATACATTTCATTGCAGCATGATGTACGCGTTTTGACTGAAGTAGAGTCTATATCCAAGGGATTTTTATCCAGACTCTGTTCTGAATTCTTCAGGTGCTTTCCCCACAGGAGTCCGCTAATACGGAACTTCACGGCAATTAGAAGTTACTAGAATCAGCCGCGCAAGTATGGGCTGGTTTACAAGTTACTTGATGTCTATCAAGAACGAAACAAAGAGAATCGCGCCCTGTCATGAAGTAATCCTACGAATCGGAAAGTTCTAGATAGTATTTTTCGTCTTTTTCAAGAGTAGGCTGTTTCATTTCAGATATCAATAATGATATTGTACTGGGCATCATTTTGATTGTAATCTCCAGAGTGATTCTCGTGTAAGCCAAGGCAGGAAATGAGATGTGATGCACGGAATGCTAAAACGTCCGTATCTACTATTCAGAGAAAAAGTCGCATCCCTCCTACCCGATAATCCCCTGTCTACCGACGGATAAGTTTGCGTGTATTAGACTGTGATATTTCATATGTTTTTAGTATGTTTTAGATAAATGTTATTGTCGAAAATGACATTAAATATTTACTATCATTACTATTCATATAAAATAATATAGACAAAATCAAAGAAACACGAAAAAACCTTATAAATTTCTAATTGTATTGATACTTCCTTTCACATCATGCTTTCATCAATTAGAATTCATTAATATCCAAAGGTATTTCCTTATTTCAAAATCAAATTTTCTCTTTCAGAATGTGCACATCTGAAAGTTCATCTCTTACGGATGAACAGAAATTATTCTACGAGAAGAATGGATATATTTTAATTAAAAATAACTTGAATCCAGAATTTTTGGACGAACTACGGTGAGATGTTCTTATATTCAATATTACATAACAGAGCTTCAATTGTCTTTAGCAAGTAGGGAAAAAACTGTTCAGCAAGTCCACATGTTATCTCTTTAGATCATGTTATGGATTATGAAAATACAAAAATTTCAGCAGTTGAAAATAATGAAGTCAAAAGGCTATTTCTGGAAATGGTTCACATGAGTGAAAATAATAATAACTTAAACAGGAAACCAGAAATGCAAAATTCAATTATACTTTAACTTTTGATCAACAACATTAAACAAATATTTTCAATATAACTAGAAAAAAAATATAGATCAAAAATAATTTTTCATCTACATTTAAATGTCACTAAATATGCAAATATCATATTAATCACGTTTTCTCTGGTGCTGTAACAAAATTATCAACGTCACATTTGCATTTGACTATTCGGTTTGGAATGTTTGAATTTGTATGTCTTTTTTATATTTCATACTAACTTTGGTGAGTCCTTTGTGAAATTGTATTTCTAGATAATGTTTGCTTTACATTCATTTTGTAGACATTATTGAAAAAGGAGAAAATAAATTTCCGAAAGCTTGAATATCAAATCAGAAGTATAGTTTTCCTAAAGCCCGTGGAGAAATTTGACTGAAATACACAAATGAATATATATATTACACAAAAAGGAGCGCTTTCGATAGCTGGCTGTGCTGTCATCTTCAAGTTGTGTACTATTCGATAGTGACTATCGATTCTGTGCTGAACAGCCACTACACTGCGACCTTTGCAGGTCTATTTTGTATGCCCTCATGTATGCTAGAGTTCCTTGTCTAGACCCGTCCTTTTAAACTAGACTCCATAGGCCAGACCTCAAGTTCCCCATATATTGAGAGGGTTGTAGTTTTTCCTCCCCTAATGTTGCAAACCTTATCCTTGACAGACCTTCGCAATAGCATAGTATGTGTACGGAGGTTTCCTCATCCTGTTGGCAAAGCCTGCATAAGGCTGTGTCTGCCAGTCCGATGTTGTTCATGTGTTTGTTGAGTCTACACTGTCCCGTCAATAGCCTGACCAGAACTCTAGTTGATCGCTTGTTAGATTAGACTAATCTAATGTAGTAATTACAAAATACACCAAAACAATTGCAGAAGTAGGTAACAAAACCGAACGCCAATATTTAAATTCGGATCGGAAATCCAAACTATTCATGTGTGAAAAGAGTGTTGTAAATCAAGCCCTGAAGAAAATAATGCTGGCCGCCCCTGGTAGCCATAAACCAATTGTGACGTAGCTAAGAGAGCGCGAATGTTCGATGTTCGCTACAGTTCTAGATGTAGCGAGAATAATGCTACCGGCTTCGATGGAATTCCAAGGAATGTTCCAGCGCCTTCGATTGCCAGATTTATGCGGCATCCACTCGCCCATCGAGACAGTCAAGTGGAAGTTACAGTGCGGTACGCGGAGCGATCTAGTAAGGCGATAGACATTCGAATAATAGTTGAAGTTTTAGTTGAAGTGTTCGTTGTATTGGAAGTGAAATTAAGTTAGGTTTAATTATTTTCAGTGTAGTCAATTATTGGTCAACCCACGGGGAAAAACGTAACAAGAGTTATTTATGTAATAGTGTTTAAATCCGAACTCATCAATTTCACACACTTCTGTTGAAATATATCGTTAGTTTCATGTTTGAAAATCCAACATCCTTTCAATTTGTGACAATTATTGTGGTGGTATTCTGTTGACATGCTACATCTTGATTAAGATTATTTCTTTATATTATATAAACATTTTTATTTCAAGGCAAAGATTTGAAGATTTATGTGAAGGAACTGCCCAAAACCACGGAGTTAGTATAGTCAAAGATCCCGTATTGAAAAAGAGGGGAATTTCGGGACAATATGCCGTGAATAAGGTGAGTTTTCATTTCAACTCTTTCAAATTATTTCAGGTATCAATTGAATGGTACATTTTTCATATGTAGATCCGACAGTAGATTGAAAAATAAAAAATGATAACGTATCTGAAAAAATATATACTTCGTGATTTTTATGATATACTTATAGGACAAATATATGATACGGAACCAAAGTGAGATGGTTGATGATAGCGTTTTTATATTTTTGAATTTGAATTCAGAAACGAACACAAAAGCTACCTCCAATGAACAAGTCTCCAAGTTCCTGCAAGAGTGATTGATTACGCCAAGCCCAGGCCCTTCACTACCATTGGCGAATTTAGTGGAACTGCAGACCTGTATAATGAATACATTATTTGTGAGGATACAAAAATTATCATCTTTTCTTGTTTCGTTAGGCGGTGTGTTACATCAAGCTTCCATAAGAGATTTAAGATGAAGAATCAATGCAATGAGCTTTATTGAAAAACTAGCGACCCGCCTCGGCTCCGCACGGGTGCCACGCTGATACTGAATGTAAATTCAGCCACCGGAAAGTTAGGGGCATTTAATTTCATTCTGATATAATTTCTCCATGAAATATCGGCTTGTTTAATTGAAATAATACCTATCGATTCAAAAGTTATAATAAAAATAGTATCAAAAACATTTTGAAAATCGATTGGTGTAAACTTGAGTAAATTTCGAATACATTTTTTTAAAGATTACAAAACTGCTGATTACTCAAGAACGACAGATCTGATTTTCAAAATCAAAAGAGTTGGATAGAGAACTAAAATACCTATCGAATGAAGTATCACTAAACTCCCTTTTCCATTTGAAAAAAAAGTTGGTAGGGTTCTCACGATGACGAGTGATGCAACACTATTATCTTTCTTATTGAAAAGTGCCTATTTATGTAAATTTTTACCGATCTTTATATCTTGCCCCGTTCAAAAGTTAAGAGGAAGGGACTTTTTACGTTCCCACTGGATATTTTACAACTAAGAAGTGAAAGTTCTTATGCTTTACAAAATTGCTTATAAATTCAAGAATCACTTAATTGTGAGATATACAGTAAATAGTTTTATTTATTTATTTATTGACAAAATACATCCAACAGGTCATGAGACATGTATTATGTACAGGAGTACATAATACAAAATGAAAAGCTTATATCAGTCCTGAAAAACAAAAATTAAACATAAAACGTTATCTATATTAGCATTACATACCATGTAACATATCAGTTATGTAGTGCATTATATATTGCTTTCCTAAACTGAGATAAGGGTAAGAAGAATATATCGATGTTTTGTAGACTTCTTCACATAGATGTTAAAGGACAGTGAAAGTGGTGTTGTGAGTTAGGTACGTCGATCTAAAAAGTTATATGTGACCTGGAAGTTATACGAGGAACGTTAAAATTCAATGATGAAAGTAAAGTAGAAGAGTTGATTTGATTATGTATGATTTTGTATATAAAAATCAAGTCGTTAATTTGGCGACGTTTTTAAAGTGATGTATAGTTGAACTATTCCAAGAGTAAATCATAGCTATATGAAAAGTTATCAAAGAAAAACATTTTTCATTTTGTAACTTCGAGGGCCCGTAACTTGGTTACGAAGACTTTTAGGAAAAAAAGTTATATGAAGTACTGGTGATATTTTGACCCCATCTATACATTCCCGAGAGGAAAAGAGGAAGTCCAGGGACACCCTGTATAGAGCTAATTGCCTCTAATGATGAGAATTCTTTGCTATTACGCATAACAAATCCTAGCATTTTCATTGCACGGGATGTTATTTCTTCGATATGTGACGAGAACGTTATTTTTTCATCAAAGTTAATACCCAGATCTTTCGATTCGGTAATTCTTGCCAATGTTATATTTTCCAATCTGTATCTGTATCTGTAGAGTAGGGAGGGTGAGTGTAAGCCCACGCACTTAGGCCACATGTGACCCATTGTACATTCTCCCAAGGAGTTGTCCTCCTAGGTCATCATCCATCCTGTCCTTTCCAGGAAGGTGGACAGGTCACTGGGAGACATCTCCTTTATATCGGCAGGTGTAGGCCAAGACTCGCCGATATTGACGATAACTCCGGGCACTCGCATAGGACATGCCTGACAGTCTCATCTTCTTCTGAATTATTGAAGCAGTCATCAGTTGTAGCAAAGTTATCCTCAGAAGGACTGAAATGTTGAATATTAGGATACTAAGTACATAATAACTGTCGCGTTTTTTTGTAAAATATTCGAAAATTCGTAAACAAAAATAATAAAGTTTTCAAGCGACTGCTGTTAACATTTGGTTTTGTTTTGGTTGGGGCGGACGAGCTTATTGAGAAGTCTCCTATTTTTCTTAAACAATTGCCTTTGAGAATACTGCGTAATAATTCTTTCGATGATCCGTTTGTTTAAATTTGCACCACATTGTTACCTGCTTTTCATTTTTGCCATATTGCCACAGTAATATACTTAGATCAATTTAAGTAGGTACCTCAGAACTGACAATACGCTAGTTCAGAAAGAGGGGTTCTAGTCAGCCATTCATTGTTATTTATAATAACTGCATTCAAACAAAAGATAATACTCTTGAATTGTATCAAATTTTGTAGTAAACTTATTTTACTCATAAGTGCGATTTCACAATCAGTACTTGTCCACTTCTGATTTTTCAAATATGTTACAAGTTTCAAGATATTTTTGACGACGAGGTATTAGGGAAATATGGAACATGCAAAGAAATCGTGGACGTTGTGGAACAGTTGATAGGCCCAAACATAACCGGGATATATTCCATGCTGTTCAACAAACCTCCAGAATCTGATCCTGATATTTCAAGGCACCCTTTGCACCAAGTAAGTATCTGCACCGTGCTTGTTACCACACTAAGCGGTTTCACATAAGTTTGCTCGCCTTCAAGGTCGAAACTTGATGGAGTACTCTTTCTAGTATTCACAAGTTGTCATCAATAAAGAAGCGCCAATACCTACCGACACTGATGGAGCCCTATAGTCCGAAACAGCTATACGTGGACTGTTAAAAAAATAAGGTGAATGTTCAAATTTCACGAGCTAAGTACATTCGATTGGCGATTATTTTATTTTTTTGCGTTGGTACAATCGTCTCGAACACATTGCATCACAATAATGCACCTGTTCACTCATCATTGCTTGTTCATAATTTTTTGGTCAAAAACAACACCGTAATCATGCCTCGGCCGCCGTATTCACCATATTTGGCCTCCTGCGAATTTTTCCTCTCGGTCGGTAGCCGGGCGGTTCGACGTGGATGCTTTGTTCACTCAGTCAATCGGCCGATGTGCGAGTCGATAGTTCAAGCCCCGGGCTGAACGCTCGATTTTCACTTGATATCGTCCAAACCGTGTCAGGAATCACACGTTAAAAGGTAAGACATCGTTAATCCTTAGCTTGCACAAGTTTCGAGTTCTGAGGGTTGTCGTTCCTAGGCGTGCCATAGCTGGTTAACGGAAAAAACATATTTTAAACATATTTTTTAAACAAGATTGAAGATACGACGTTCTGCGACGATTGAAAAGATGAAAACCGAATCGCTGAGAAAGCTCAAGGACATCTCAAAATGTGCCCATTATAACTGCTTCAAGGATTGGAAAAACGCTGGCACAGGTGTATTATATCTGAGGGGCACAATTTTGAAGAGGACAAAATAGAAATTGATGAATAAATAAATATGTTTTTGAGAAAAATTAAAATTCACCTTATTTTTTGAAAAGACAGCGTATACTGGAATTCGAATTCCGTAAATTTACTTTCAATTTCGTAAATTCGAAAGGACTGCGATGCAAAATATTATGGACAGACAAAAAGATCTATTAAAGTAAGATATAAGGAACACATAGCACACTTAAAATATGGAAGACCTGAAAAATCAGCAGTCGCCCATCATATTTTGCAACAAAACCATTCCATAGACTTCAGTTCATCAAGATTAGTTAGACAAGTTAACAACAACAGGCAACTAGATGCCTATGAGAGTGTAGAAATAAGTAAACCACAATAATATTATGAATAATGATGACGGACCTATACCAAAGAGCATACTATATAGCTTGTTAAAATAAAATAAAATAATGTTGTTGGGTTTACTGATTACTACATAAGGACACATTGCAAAAATAAATTTGGATAGGCAATATTGTGAAATTAATTTTTATATAGCTGAAAATTGTTTTATATAAACATATATTGTAAAATAATAGATAAGGCAAAATTGTAAAATTAATTTAGGTTGGTATCCCTAGATGGTTTACCTGTATGAGTTACCTTTATAGCATAAATATGATTAGCTCGCACTAGTCCTTAGTTTTAATCTTCCTCTTTGAAGATGATCACTTGGTGATCGAAACACGTGTCGAGGTGTTAAAAATAACGATTTGAAGTTGGGAAAAAATTCCAGTAATATTCATTACTACACCAAAGGTTCCAAACAGTGCATCATAAAAAGAAGATTGTGAAAAAAAATGTGTGTGCTAGTACATTTCCGGCTTGTCTGAAGTCTCTCATCTCATAATTCTAAATTCGATAAGGAAATCTTGTAAAATTCTGATTTCAAACTTTGAAGTTATTGCATTTTTTTATTCATCAAATGTTGAATTTATCTATGCCTTCATAAAGTTTTTCAATACGATTTAGGAGAGGCACCAATCTCAGGTGCCTCTCCTGCTTATTAATCACAGTTTGAATGATTTCAGCTCCATGTCACTATACTCGTACCACGGGTGGCATATTTCAAGTTAAAACAAAAAAAAAAACAGAAAACAATATTTTTGGAATAAAACTTACCTATCATTGTTTTGATACATTTTTGTCTGCGTTCAAACCAATTTTCGGAACAGTTTTTCTTTTCTGAGGTTGATATCTCCGAAATTTGGAATTCAAAGGCTTCAACAGCTCCTTGAGGTGATTTAAAACTGCCCACCCATTTTTTGACATAGTCTAACAAAAAATTCGTAAGGCGATAAATCAGGAGGATACGGGAAACGAGCTATCAATTCTATGGGCGAAGCTTGGCGTCGCAATTGACCGCCTTGTGGAGCCTCGTTTATCTTTGATATCCGAGGATTGGGTTTTCTGTCCATCCCATATATGGCGTCTTCGTAAAGGGAGATTTCATCGCCCTTATTTACTCAGGATTGTTCTTTAAGGACAGTTGAGTCCGGCAATGCATTTGTGATTCAGCCTAGCTCCATTGACGAGACCTATGGCAGGTCGAAACAGCGCTACTTGGTATTGAATCATAAATGTGTTATCAGTTTTACTATTTTCATTCGAGTTTGAAGGCCGTCGTAGTTTGAAACTGTTCGTATCATATGAAGGAATTTTTATCAAGGTCAACACACAATTCTAGTCTATAGTAGATATGCATTTCTAATTGTTTTTAATTTTTCTGTATGTTCAACTTCAAAAAAGTTAAATTAAAAATTAATGACTTTTCCGGAAGTCAAATTGTCTGTCCCTTTAACCACAATATGATAATAATTTTTTCCTAGGACCTTCACTATTTTCCCTTTCGCCCTGCAAACAAAATTGTTACCGCTTGGACTGCCATGGAAAGAGTTGAGGAGAAAAACGGATGCTTGCATGTCATTCCAGGGTCACACAACGGTCCACTGTACAATCACGAGTATCCAGAGGTAAACACAAATTTTGTTTTGACTTCAACATTTACAATATATTTTGTAGGGAAACAAACATAAACTCTACCATGAAGTGACGGGAATGAACCACCTTCCGAAGCTGCATGTTATTATGGAGAAGGGAGATACGATTTTTTTTCACTCTTTACTATTGCATGGTTCTGGCCCCAACTTTACTAAGGTACACCCTGCTAAATACAAAACACTTGAAAGATCTGAAGAGTAAAATGAATTCAACGCAAACACTACTTCCACACACCAAAACTGCAATCTTATTTTCGACGAGCGTTTCACCAATCAGAATGACGTCATCCTTTACTCAGAATTCGTCTATTTGAATCTAACGAATGCACTTTTACTTTCACTTTTCTATGCAAACTAACGGAATTTTTTTGTGAAACTACAGAAGTGGTCAGGTTTTCAATTTTGCAATACCTAAAATGTATGGTCTGGCAAAAATTCACCAACCTGATAAGATGTCGAGACCAAATATTTCCGTCTACTAATGAAATTCAAAAATAGTTAACCAAAGAGTTTGAAACTATCAGGGTGTTACAATTAAATTTAAGTATTGATTATTTAAACAGTTCTTTCCAAGCGTTTCCTAGGTTCAGTAGTATTATTATTGATTGATTAATTATTTTCTCAATATTAGAGATATTTCGGTAGTTTGGTTGATATTTTAACGGTAATGGTAATACTCTGACGATATGATACTTTTCAATCTTTGAATAAATGAAGCGTAGTTTTTTACAAGAAATTTGAGTCAACGATTGTGTTACATTTGTATGCTAATCCTACGATGGATAAACATCATTAACCCAAATTGCAATTTTATCCAATTCACTTTTGTACTTCGTATGTGTTAAGGACATTATCTTCAAACCTAATTTTTAATTAATACAACTTTTGGCAAAAGTTTGATTTCAAGTTGAGGTATCAGTTTAGGCCTTCTTCAGATGATGCCAATTTGGCTGGTGAAGAGCACATAGAGAAGTGCTAGACATGAACCATCAACTTCATATAGTTCCTGAACCAACTGTGGGGTACGGAACCAGACGAGGAAATGGGTCGATAATAAACATAAAATGTACCGAAATAATACACCCAGGAACACGTCTGAGAAAAGAACTGAAAAACTAGTTCAACAGAGCAGGGATTGTCTGAAAATGGTTAAAAAGCTACTCACTGGACACTGGTTTCCATCTTGAGGAGACCTAAACAGAATAGGGCTGTATAACCAAGACTTTACCTACGCAATGCAACAAAAGGACAGGGACTGCTTTTGATGTCTATGAGGCACAAGATTCAGGTCATTTATGAACGAACCAAAATATGTTGAACATTTCCAACAAAGGACTAACACAAACTAGAAAAGGGAACAAGATTGTTGGAAGAGGTGTCATAAAGATATGGGAGGAAAACGTAATTAGCCCATGAGCCCATGAGAAATGGACAACTCAAACGTCATCCAAGCAATAAAAAAGCCTAGTTAACTTCTGTAAAATATCTAAAATTATGTATTTTTTTTTCAGGGCTTTAGAAAGGCAATATCATGTCATTATGCTGATTCAAACTGTACCTTTATGGATATTAACAGTATAAATTATGGGAGAATGGCCAAGGAAATCGAAGACATGGAAGAAACGAAAACAGGTGTGCCACTAAATATTCAGGTATGCTTGTCCTATACTTGATATTCATGCATTTTCACATCCCCTAAAATCAACAAAGTGTTTAAATTTGAATCAAATGTGGGAGGTAGATTACTAAATTTGCTCAGTGACATAACTGTGATCTAATAAAGTTCATATGAGAAAATAACCTAGGTCGTTATTATTATTAATTTTGACCTAGTAGTATGACGTGCAAAGATTACCAGCAACATGGAGATCCATCTTATCACCCCACAAAATCAAACAGACTGCATCACCAGAAGATGGCAAATTAAACTTTGCCGAAACATTGTGAAAATAATCCTTGTGGGGATCAAAAACACAAAAACAGCTCATCATACTCTGACCGTAAAAAGCGAATTTGAAAACAATGTGGCGACTTCTCAGAAACTAGGAACACTGTTATGAACTAGAAACAGTGGCGGCGCCACGAGAAGGCAGTATGTCCCACCCGCCCTCTGCAAAATGTTGTTGTTAGCGACCTTCCGATTTTAAATATTTCACAAATCTATTGTTAGGTACATAACTCGGAAAACCAATAAACGTGGCAACATTAGGCTTTAATACCTCGACCTCGATCAGTTGTGAATCCCATATCGCTCGCTGTCTAATGCAAATGTGATCATTTTCTAAGAGATTGGAAATTTATTGTATCTCGGCGTGGCACTCGTAGCAGTAGTAGTAGTCTGGTTTGTTATTGTTACTTTGACGAATAAACAGTTTGACGAGCAGATTGTCGGAAGTTACGGGAAAAGAAGAAGTTAAAATATGCTGCTACATCACATTCTCAAACAAAATAAAATTTTTGTAAAACTTTCAATTCGTAAATTCTTAATTTTCAGTTGAAGATCCGAAATCATATTCCTAATGGAAACTTATACATTTACAGAGAAACGAAAGGACAATTAATTCAAACTCAAAGTTGTGTAGAGGAATCGGTTCCAAATAAACCTGATACTACAGAGAGTACAGTCAGTATGGAGTCAACATTTCTTGATGTTCCATCGACATCAACCGATATAGTAAGAACAAAATCCGATTTTTCATTAGGTTTTGCTAATTTCACATTTACGGAAGTAGATTTAAATTCGGATTTGGATAGTGATAGTACTCAAGAATATTACTGGAGTTTTTTCCCAACACCAAATCGTTATTTTTAACACCTCGACACGTGTTTTGATCACCAAGTGATCATCTTCAAAGAGGAAGATTAAAACTAGAAACTAATGCGAAGCTAACCCTGAAAATTTCAATCTTTATTTCGATACTAGTATCGAATCCATAGTTGACTCTATAAATGCTAATACAGTTTGGCAAGCGGGTGATGAGGCAGTGTCTACTTTTTCTGAATTTCAGCAGCTAAAGATAGCAGACCTTGCTAAAATAATCAACAACTTGGAAAACAAATCTGGGGCAGAAATTGTCGATATTAAATTTATAAAATATACTTTTGGTGTTATTGGGCATGTACTATTGCAGTTTGTAAATATTTCCCTACAATATGGACAATTTCCTAATGCATTAAAAGTCAGTACTGTTGTTCCGATACCTAAAATTCCAAACACAAATAAATCAAGTGAATATCGTCCCATTAATACTCTGCCGGGAATGGAGAAATTGTTGGAAATGGCTGTATACGATCAACTAATGAAATATATTAACAAGAACAATATCCTAATAACAAACCAATCTGGATTTCGAAAGAATTTCTCCTGTGAAACCGCTCTACAACTGACTGTTACCAAGTGGATTCAATCAATTGATAAGGGAGAATACGTTGTTGCAGTTTTTCTTGATTTACGAAGAGCATTCGAGACAACTGATAGGAATATCCTTTTAAAAAAATTAGAATTAATTGGGATTAAAGGGGTTGTGCTAAATTGGTTTAAAGATTATTTAAATGATCGACAACAAGTCACAAAGATTGAAAGTGAATTATCCATTCCAGTCACTACAAAGTTCGGAGTGCCCCAGGGAAGTGTACTGGGGCCCTTGTTGTTTTTGATTTACATAAACGACATTAACACATACCATACTAGTGACTTTATCAACTTATTTGCTGACGACACAATACTATCTATAGCACATAAAGACCTGAAAGTAGCTATAGAAAAGATGAACTCATCTCTAAATCAAATTGAGAATTATTTTTCGGCAAATAAAATGAAATTAAATACTTCAAAAACGAAAGCTATGATTCTAACAACCTCTTACGAATATAAACAAATAAATATAAATACTCTTTCCCTATATGCTGATGGTCAGAAACTTGAATTTGTGAAAGAATTCAAATATTTAGGTTTTATGTTGGACAACAGTATGTCTTTTGGTGCACACTATAACTATATGACTAAAAAGATTTCAAAAAAACTATATTTCTTCACTAGAATTTCGAAACACCTTTCTACAAATGCGAAAATAACCGTATATAATACAATAATACAGCCCCATTTTGATTATTGCAGTACACTGTTATACAGTTTTGACCAAAATAAAATTATGTCTCTGCAAAAGTTACAGAACAGAGGAATGAGGGTGGTTCTTGGATGTAATCGTTATGCAAGTATATGCTTTATGCTCAGTGCATTACAGTGGATGTCTATTCGTGAAAGATATTACAGGTCAGCAATGATATTTATTTATCATTTATAGAAATTCCACTCACAATTACACTACTAGACACGATGTAGTTTATCAAACTCCATGAAAATTTTATTATATAAAGGCCTCATTGAATATAACAAACTTCCCCAAAATGTGAAGAATAATAAAAACCTGTTTCAATTCAAAAAAGATTTGACTGATTATATGAAAGGTATCACAATAGAATAGATACTAAGTGACTCGGTATATATTATGTATTTATGTGTACCTATATGTATATATGTATTATATCCTTACTATGCGTGTCTATATAACATGAAATATTATGTATATTATGTTTGTGTATTAGGATCTTCCTACCAATAAATCATTCATTCATTCCTATTTATGCTATATAGGTATATCCCATACAGGTAAACCATCCAGGTGTACCACCCATACAGGTATACCAACCTAAATTAATTTTACAATTTTGCCTTATCTATTACTTTACAATATATGTTTATATAAAACAATTTTCAGCTATATAAAAATTAATTTCACAATATTGCCTATCTAAATTTATTTTTGCAATGTGTCCTTATGTAGTAATCAGTAAATCCAACAATATTATTTTATTTTAACAAGCTATATAGTATGCTCTTTGGTATAGGTCCGTCATCGTTATTCATAATATTTCTACACTCTCATAGGCATCTAGTTGCCTGTTGTTGTTAACTTGTCTAACTAATCTAAATGAACTGAAGTCTATGGAAAGGTTTTCTTGCAAAATATGATGGGCGACTGCTGATTTTTCAGGTCTTCCATATTTTGAGTGTGCTATGTGTTCCTTATATCTTACTTTAATAGATCTTTTTGTCTGTCCATAATATTTTGCATAGCAGTCCTTACATTCAATTTCGTAAATTCCAGACTTTTCTGAATTCTCGACTTTGTCTTTTGGACTTCCCAAAAGGCTCTAAAGTGTATGACTTGTTTTAAAAACCACCTTCATAACTAGTTCTTTGAAAATCTTTCCAAAGTTCCTCGTATATTGGTGGTATGGAACTGAGATGTATTTATCTTGGTTTTTGTGCTTTCTGAAAGTCGAGATTTCGTTCATTCTTAACCTAAACTTCTTCTTCCTTATTATGTCATCTACAATATCCCTCGAGAAACCGTTAGTGGCTGCTATTTCCTGTATTGTACGTCTTTCTTTTGTGAACCTATCATGTATTAGAGGGAAAGTCAAAAGACGGTGCACTAAAAAATCCAATCCAGCACGTTTGTGCTGTCCACAGTGATGTGAACTGTCAGGAATATACCTGTACGTGCTTGTTTCTTTTCTAAATATATCGTATTCTAACCCTCCATATTGGCTCCTCATTACCAAAACATCAAGAAATGGTAGTCGTGTTTTATTTTCTAACTAATACGTGAATTTTATTGATGGACATCTATTATTTCAAATGGAAACAAAGTCGTCAATATTCGATTTTTTGGTATCGAATATCGCGAAAATATCATCCACATACCTTAGCCAAATCCTAGGAAAATACTTCGAGTTTTCTTTGGTTTCCTCCAAAGGTAATAAAATGTTTTGTATGCTGGCTTTTTGATAGTCCTCATTTTTTATTATTGAAATATTTCTTTCATTAGAGTTTTGTGAAAATATTTCTTTTCCTAATGGGAAATAAAGTATTACTTCAAATACCTGTGCCTTTTTACTGAATCTTGGCGCCTAGTTATAGCGCGCCCCCCTCCCACCGCTGACTAGAAAGTGAATACACCTAAGCAACTTTATACATACCATTTACTTTATATACAAGGTTAGAATTGATTTATTACATTATTCATTCAACAAACCATTTAGTACCGTTTTTAAACACTTGTTTATTAGTTTTGAAATAATGGTTATAAAAGACTAAATAATGATAATATGTGCTGATTAATGTTTCAGAATTATTTCAAAGCCAGAAGCAGATTAATCAGAGGAAGTCCAGGAGCACTTCAACAATTTTACTCTAATCTTTAAATGGGGTAAAAAACAATAATGGAAAATAATTTGGTAACTTTATAAATAAAAGTATTTTTCAAATCTGAAGTTTAATTATTGAAAATGCCACCTTGTCTCACAAAATTTTCTAGATTCAATCTATATTCATCTATCAAATTCCAAATACACTATCGCCTGGTAACTCCGCCGTTGAAAATTATCAACTCTTCTTCAAGCTTCCAATTTCTGATAGAAAAAACACTCTGTCATTATTTCTGCCTCAGAATTCGTTGAGGTATTCGAATCGACACAAATTTGAATGACATTGTTCCCACTACAACCTAAAAACACAAACTGAACTGTTATCGATACAGCATAATTGAATGTTACTATTTTGTTTCAGTTTTTTCGAATCTGATTTCAAAAAGATTATTCATTTCAACCAATCATGACAAGGAGAAATCAAAACTATGATAGAACTAGTCTATAAATAATTGATGAAAATCGATATTGAAACTTGCTATTCAGTTTACTGTATAATTTTCACTATAAAAGCTTTGATTAGTAGAAATGTAACCTCTGGTATGAAATTAATGTATTGAAAACACTTTTCCCACACCACTACAAAAATATTGTCTCTCGTCGACAAGTTAGCAACATTAAAAAACGACTAGTTTTTAGAAGGTGACTAGTTTTTAATCATCTCCTGTTAACTTATTATCGAAACGCTCGTCGAGAAACAATATTATTGTTCTGGTGCGGGAAAAGTGTTTTCAATATATATAAAAGGTTTTACAGAAACTGCGACATGAGTTTCGCTATACAGGAGTTTCCTATGAACAAAAATGATAAATCCATTCCAACCATTGTTCAATAGTGAAATGATATGATTTCACTCTAATTATTCTAGAAGAGGACTAGGTTTAATTAACTAGTACGAACAAATTTAGCAAAGGCGAGTTATTTGAATACATTTGACCAGAATTTTTTTACAGACAAAGAAACAAGCACTAATCTGTGAATCATAATAAGAAATGCTGCAATTTTGTGTTGATATGGATGAATTATGAATATCTGTGGATGCCAAATTTAAAAAAAAGGGGGGAAATTGTGTTTGCTTTCAATTTTTGTCATAGTCAAATTCAGGAAATTTATAAAATCATTCCATAGTAAATACGATGGAAGGGTGAAAAGAAATGATGAGAAAATAATAGGTAGGAGAATTTTGATCTATGCTGCAATAATCAACATGGTTTCAGGAAGAGTAAATCAATTGAATCTGCTTGTTACCAACTATTAAATTATATGTATGCACAAGTGGATAACAATAACCTAACAAAAGCATTCGATACTGTTTCTTCCAAATTTTTATTGAAAAAATTACTAATAATGAGCTTTCCCAATGATGTGTTGTGTTGGATAGAATCGTACATGGAAAACTGTGGTTTAGAGGTTAAATGTAATGGAATTACATCAGTTCCTTATGATGTGAAACTAGGTGTTCCACAAGGATCTGTTCTGGATCCATTGTAATTCTTGATTTTTATCAACGACTTGCCTGAATTCATATCAGATTGTCACATAACTATGTATGCTGACGGTACTACAATCACTGTTTCTGGTAAAAACCAGAATGAGTTATCAATGAAAATAAATTTTGTTATTGACGAATTTAGTAGTTGATGTCAATGTAACAAACTGATTTTAAATAAATCTAAGCAGTGAGTATTGATGAAATCATTTGTTAGAAGGAATTACTGTTGTTATTTATTAACTTTTTTTGTCACCTGGTGTAATCAAATACAAAAAGTGTATAGTAACCATGTAAATGGTTGAAACATTGTTTAGATAGGTTTGGTTTACTAAATGTTTATTTTGCGAATGCATACTCCCACATCAGTTTCAACACAATGGCTTGGGGATGTGCGAAGGAATTTTCTAGAGTTTTCCTCTCTCAGAAATGACTGATAAAATTGATTTTCAATCTGGGATTGTAATATATATAATGAAATGTGTCGTTTTTGTGCATAGGAACCTTGACTTGTACATAACAAACTTGAGCATTCACGGTTGGGTGTGAGCATTTCAAAAATCTCCATTATATAACATAATCAATTTTTATAACACACTGCCATTTTCCATAAAGAGGTTGATTTCTGAAACTATGTTCAGTTAGTTAAAAACTTATTACTGGACAAATGTTACTATAGTCATAATCGTAGTAATGTTTCACTAATTGTGTTTTGCTTTAGTTTCAAGGCCGGACGATCGAATTTTCATTTTCTATCGTCCAACCTGTGTTAGGAATCACACACGCACAAGTTTTTACTTTTGAGAGTTGTCGTTCGTAGGGGAGCGACAGCTGGTTAACGGAAAAACAGATTGTAACAGATAAATATGTGTATATGTAAGTTAGCGAATGTGTAAATCTTTGTATATGCATAGGTACTTTAATTTTAATTTTTTTTCTCATAAGTGACGTACTGAAAGACGTTTGTATTTTTATTTTATTTAGTTTATCATTTTTGACTTATCACATATACACTTTATATAGCAAATGGTGAATAAATATTACTTGTATTACTGTTATTATTCAGTTGTCTATTTGTTCCTGTGAAACATACTAGAATGTCAATGACGTATCTATATGAATAAAAAAACTTTCCACCAGAGGATTTCTATGTGTTTTTTGTTTCAAACCCGTCATAAAAGATTCTTCCAAAAGGATCCTGGGATTTCCCAGTGAATTCCAACAAAGAACTGAACATGATAAAACGAATTCTCAATCAACAATGGATATGATAGGAATATGATGACTTACTGTCCACAAACTATACAGTAAAGCCATGCAGAAAATTCACTCAATTCTGAAATACGAGAATAAAAATTGTAGTTTGTTAACGCAATTGGATCAACCTATTGAGAAGATTTCGATTTCTTACAAAATAAAGGTGTAAACACGGCCTATAGAACTAATAATAAATTGAGCATGCATATTAAATATAACAAAAACGAAACTTTTGTATCAGAACGACTTCCGTGTGGATCATGCCCGATGTTTTACATAGATCAAACCGAAAGAACATTTACAGCACACATAAAAGAACATTGAAACAGGTTTCAGAATAAAAAAATTGAAAAAACGCGTGCTACTCACTTCCTTATAAAGAGACATGAGTTCAATCATGAATTCAAACCCCTTCATTTTCGAAAGAAAGGTTTGAAACTAATGGAAATAAATGAATTCAAAAATCCAAAATATTTCATCAATAATCAAATTGATTTAAATAAATCGCCACTGCTATATTTGTTTCTACCAATCATACTTAGTCTTCTCCTAGAAAGTGTGAAACGATAAACACTACAAAAAATCCTCACCTGATTTTCCAACACTTCCATTGAGAGTATGACACCTCCTGGTCCTTCAATGCTATCAATAAACTCATTTGTTTCAATATTATATACATAAATCTTTCCATTATGGCAACTGGCAAATAACAGCTTCCCTACAATTTTCAAACAACCTATTCCTTTTGAATTAGTAGCTCTGAGTGTTCTGGTCAAAGTTCCATCCTGAAATATGTGAACAGATACTGGGTTTTGTATTTCATAATTTTCATGAGTGATTTGCAAGAATGTTATGCCAAATTTGATGGTTTTTGGAGTTTCCAAAACTGAATCCCAAGTTTCAATCCAACTCAAAATTTGAAAAATCGATTTTTTCATGAAATGAAATTCATTTTTGGTACCTTTTATCTATTTTCCATTATTGAGAATATTTGAAACAAGTTACTTGTTTAGATAGTAGTGTGATTAAGTTGTTCAGTTATCAAGTTGTTGTAAATGACTAGTTTTCACTATATATTTAAAAAGTTTACGTTGCGTTTTCTTTTATTGTCTGGTGTGAACACCAGAATCCCAATATTTTCCCGCCCCCCCGTTTGTAAAATGTATTTTTCCGTTTATTACTCTTGATTGTTTTAAAAATTATAATGAAATAAAATATTTTGGAGTAAATATTTGTTAAAATTCTTATTGATATTTTCCCCAAACTTCATAAGTAGTATTTGAGTTGCTAAGTAAGCCCTAAAAAAATATTCCACAATATTCATTATACTCACATTAAAATCAAATACCATGATATTATGATTTGTGGTTCCACAGTATACCAAATTCTTCTCGATTATCAGAGAATACACTGTGGGAGCAAACATTTTTTCCAACGTTCGGAGATGAAGACCAGTCATTGCGGCTCTAATTACAACTGGAGAGTTTCTTGAACCTATCAAAAGCACCCTTCTGACACCCTCTTTTGCAGCTTTTATCACGAAGATTGTATCATTATTGAAATTATCCTCATACTCCACCATACCTGTCTGAAACAATTGAAGAGTATAAAAGGAGATAGAATAACGCCAAAAGTGCTGGAAAGATCAAATATCTCTGTGGTTAATATTTGATTTTTGGCTCGCACCAGTTTTGGAAACAATTTAATCAAGACTTGCGTATTTTTGTCCTTTCTCCGGTTTACTTTTGGAAACGTGATCAAAAGTACAAACTATTAAAAAATCGATTATTTCAGGAAATCACGTCTGGCAATGAAATCTCATAAAATGACACCCTCATTTTTCGATTACATGTTGCGGCATTGTCTAAATATAGGGTCTTCCAACAGGGACTTCCCAACTTTGAACATCTTATAAATTAGTTGTCATTTATTCAGTCTGTTTTGCCAAATCACTATGGACGGATATAGCTTTCAACAACACGTGCATATAATAAAATTATTAGATCAAAATGGGTGTTCTGTTCGGGCAATGTACCGCCCGCTTCTCCCATTTTATGGTCGCCACAATCGACCTACCGAGATAACTATTCGCCATGTGATGGATACTGGTTCAGTAAACGATTGACCAACACCCGTACGTAGACGAAACGTAAGATCTGCCGAAAACATCGATGCTGTCTGTGAGAGTGTGCAGGAAAATCCGAGGCAGTCGATTTCGCGTCGCTCACAAAAACTCGGCCTTTCGCAGACCACAAATTGACGAATTTTGCGTCGTGACTTAGGCCTGTACTCATAAAAAATTCAACTGTCCCAGGAACATGTGGGGAAAATGAGTGGATAACGGGGAATGAAAGGATCCCCGGACAGGGCAGTGCCCGTGGCTTTGAAAACAATCAAACCAGGGCGGGTGAAGAATAAAAGGGTAGCGAAGATTCAACAGATGATTGAGGAAAGGAGCTAAAGGAGGGCACGTACCCAGATAGTCTGGAGGAGAGGACATCAGGAAGATAATATAGGTAACAAGAAAGTCCACGAGGAGGCGACAGAAGGAATGCTTAGAGAGAGCGTGACGTGAAATGTGGAGAGAATGGATAGTAAGAATGAGGAGAGAAAGAGGATCAAAGGAAAAATCATAGGAGAATGGCAACGAGAGTGGGAGAGTGGTATGACTGGACGGCTGTTCTACAGTTTCTGTAGAACAGTTGGATATAAATCGTTGGATCTGTCGCGGAAGGCTGTTCAACTGCTTACGGGGCATGGCAAATTTCCGGGATACCTGGCTAGATTTAACCTGGGTCCTGAGGTACCGTGTCCCTGTGGCTATGGAGAGCCTGAAACGGCAGAGCACGTGATTGAGAGATGTATGAGATTGAGAGAACATAGAGCGTACAAATGGAGAAATGACACTAAGGGATATGAATGGGAAACGGAATGAATGAATAACGTTTGTTAATGAATGGGCAGAGAAAATGGTGAAGCTGCTGGCTTACTGAGATGTTGGTAGTAGACCAAGTTGACATTGAGCCGTCACTGAGAGGTGGTAGTGACAGACTCAGTCCGAGCAGACCAGTAATTTGGTATTTGTAGGAAACTTCGTCGTTATTTTGACATTAAGAATTGTGTTAGGATAATTTTCTTATAATGTGTTTCTTATTGTAATTATTGGTAGTTTATGTATGTGGAACTAATTTCGTCCCCTCGTGTGCACGTTTTTACGTGTCGTTCACAGAAGGTGAGGGGAGAGTTCGGAGGAGTAGAGGTTCCCCTGGCAGTGGTGGCGCTAGATAGAGGGAAGATGCCAGTTGTAAGGCCTTCGGGCTTGGTTAACGCAGGCAAAGGCGTTATTCATGACCCAGGAACTGACAGAAAACGACTACAGACAACGACATGTGTTCGCTGAAAAGGCTCTGAAGCAGTTGGCAACTGACCCACTTCTGGATGAATTGATACGTGAACAAACAAAATTATCGAATTTGGGACGATACCAATCGACATGAGCTCTAAGAGCATCCAATGCATCCCGAAAAAGTCACTGTTTGGTGTGGATTTTGGGCTGACGGTATCATCGGTTCATATTTTTTGAGAACGACGTTGGCCAGGCCATCACTGTCAAGGATGACCACTATAAGTCGATGATCAACAACTTATTTGAATTGGATGATCTTGACACCAGCAACATGTGGTTTCAACAGGACGGCGCTACGTGCCACACAGCTCATGCCACATTGGATATTCTGCAGAGGTGATGTGAACTGGCCACCGAGATTGTGCGATTTGACCCCGTTAGACTATTTCTTGTGATTTTTTTGTTTTTATTGATCACAAGTACACCATGGTGTCTGGACAAGTCACATAAAATACACATATATGACATATATAAATTGTAAATTATAAATTATTTACAACGTAAAATCACAACATAATTACTAACACATGACATATGAAACAAAATTTAAAAGTGAAACATAAACATATTAAAGTCCATACAGATTATTAACAAATCTGTAAGTCATATTTATAAATAAGAGTCAGGAGTATTATGTAATAATTTGAAACAAATTTAACCAAAAGAATGAAAAAATAACAGGAATTGTAATTCAAATTAACTTAGGACAATTCGAAAGCATTTATTTCGTAGTAGGCTATCTTCAACAGAATACTCTTTAGTTTCTTTTTGAATATTTCCATGTGTGTATCTTTCAATTCAATAGTTAATTTATTAAACAGTCTCATTGCTAGATAATTGCGACTAGTACTTGCTAATTTATGTTGTGGAATCAGCAGGTTGTCTCTATTTCTTGTATTATAATTATGATTATCACTAAGTGTCTGATAGTTGCTGATATTTTCTTTTATGAATACCAAGTTAGTATATATGACTGATGAAACTAACGTCAAAATACCTAGCTGTACAAACCACGGCTTATAACTTTCCAATCTGTTTAAACCTACAATTGCTCTAATTGCTCTTTTTGGAGTAAAAAAAATAGGCTGTAAGTAGACAACGCTATGCTATGGCATAGACAACGCTATGGCATAGACAACGCTATGCTATGGCTTATTCGCATATACCTGGTTTATGAACCACAGCGGTCCTCAAAGCCAACATAACCCAAGCCATCGGTCAAATTTAGCCAGATTTTTACATCAGGGTCGTGGAAAATTGGACGTTTCGGATGCGCTCTACCCAGGGAATCCGTGGCGGACATTTGAACGATGTTATATTCCACACATAATGGTATCAATAGGTTTTTCAAACAAATACAAAATTTCGATGATATCTCGCACACACTTTATTTTATTCAAATTTAAAGACCCTATAATGCAGTTTATCAATCTTACAGCCAAATAATTGGGCGATGGAGTTTATTCATAATGTGCTTAAGTAGTTATCCAAATAGGAAAGTAGAATATGGTTGGTTGGAAGGGGAATTTGAAATAGAAGAAATATTAATTGACTACATTACTAGCGTTTCAGATCATTTGATAACACAAAAAATACAACTTGAACTGAAAAAATAAGAAGTAAAATCTATCTTTACAACAATAGCAACTTTACAGTACAGTGAATATGATTCAAGTTCAGTTGTATTTAAAACAAACGGCAAATTTGTAAGATTTCTCATTATATTCCACAAAGATTGCATTAAATGCTTTTTACATTGTCTCTGACTGTCTATGTATATTTAGATTTTGGTTGCTGGATCTTTATTTACCCATTCCAAATGTTTCCGCAGAATATGAAATTTCTACTTCTCCAAAAAAAATTTTTTCATCACATTCTATATGATTTCATCCCTTCAGGTGAGTTTTTGCTATTAATAATTGGCTATGTATTTGAGAGAATAAATATTTCTTAATGAAATCTCGAAACATTCACTTCTCTCAACGTACCTACACAGGAGGTTATTTTAAATGCATTCTGGAAAACAATTACTTCCTCAGCTAATATCACGTTGGACATTGAATTATATCCGACAGACATTCATGCAAGATACCTCACAGAGGATAGTTTTGCAGATTCACATTCATCTAGCAGCAGGACCACACTGAAATCAATTGAGTGAATCACCTACAGATCAGTTTCAAGATTTCACTTCTCGATGAACAAAAAATCCGACCAAACAGCAGTGTGCTTGGAACTTGATTGATTTCCACGCGGCTCAAAATGATGTTGGAAGAATGAAAACAAACACTAATAGAGTAAAGTAAGAATAAAGTAAAATTAGAAAAATTATTATTATATTACATCATATGTAGTTAATGTGAGTAACAAGAAACGAGACGAGAAATGTTGCTCTGGGGCGATTTATTGATATAATTCAACCATCTTTACTAACCTTGATAGAATAGCGCATTATTGTTCCTCGCATGCATCCTAAGAAAACATAGCCCCACTCTTCATCCATGCACTGTACGCTGTCAGTTAAATTTACAGATTTTAGGAGGCAGTGACTGTAAAAGTTGTACAATTTCAAAGAATTCTCGTATGATCCAACGTAGAGGAGAGTTTTTTCTTCATCTTCTTTTGTGCAAAGTAACGACAATATTGGGAATTTTGTTACCTCTAACACATTGGTATAGTGCCCATCCTCTAAACTACAAAAGAATATTTTTCCAGTTTCGGTTGCTGCTAAAAGAGTATCGCTGAAAACCTGAAAAGTAATAACAATTGTTTCTTCGATAAATTCTCTTTAAGAACTGATTAAAAATAAATCATGCATCTGGTAACTCAAGCTTTTTGTGTAATCAACTGGAATAATGCTGTATATCATTTTCAAGTGGTCTTTCAAAACATTTCTGAACAATAAACAGTTTATTCTTCCTCTTGAAGATGATCACTTGGTGATTGAAACACGTGTCGAGGTGTTAAAAGTATTGGTGTTGGGATTAAACTCCAGTGATATTCAATAAACAGTTTAATGTATTCGTTTGAAAATGTCCTTGTAGGACGAAACTGCAGTATCGTTAGTTACACATTTAAGTGGTATCTGTAAAGTAGGGAGGGTGAGTGTTGACCCACAGCACTTAGGCCACATGTGACCCATTGTACATCCTCCCGAGGAGTTGTCCTCTTAGGTTATCGTCCATCCTGTCTTTTCCATCAAGGTGGATAGGTCCTTTATATCGGTAGGTGTAGGCCAAGACTCGTCAAACACACACTCTCTTATTGACAATAACTCCGGTTATTCGCATAAGACATGCCTAACAGTTTCACCTTCCTGTTCACACATCCTGCATAGAGGTGTGTCCACTAGCCCCATATTATGGAGGTGTTTCCTTAGTTGACAGTGGCCAGTCAGAAATCCTACTGCTAAGCATAGATTTTTCATGGTCATCGCCAGATATTTCTTCGGCACCAGCTTCCCAGGGTCGCCCAAGGTGATCCTGACAAGATTGCATCCTTTGATTCCATCCCATCTCTTTAGGAATTGAGCATGGGTGTGACGTTTGGCTAGTTCCGCAATTGTCGAAGTCATCAGGCAGTAGGTGCCACTCGCCGTAGGCTCATCCACAATTGACCCATTCCTACTTCGGGGTTTACACCTGCAGTGCGCAATCGTAACATGGCCATTAACGTACAGGTCCACATTTAAGCGGTATAAAACATAGGAAGTTTTATTTCTCAATTTTCAAGTAGGATTCACATTAATTTATTTTGGCAATGGATTGAATCTTCCTTTCAAAGAGCTACTGCCATATTCTCTTGATATTATTTTCTGATTTTCTACTCTTTTTATGTTACATATTTCCTTTGCACGTTTCAAAAGACGCAATGAATTTGTTAAGACTATATTCAGTTCAATCAATATTTTTCACAAAATAAATTGAAATTATTCAATCTCAAGATTCAATTTTTTTTAATTATACTTTTTGATGTCTTATTGTTCACCACTGAAGCTGAAGTTGGCGGGTTTAATGTTTGAAACTCCCATCAACCCTCAAATGTTTTTCTAACAGTACCTCAAAAGCTTCCATGTCAATTTCCAATAAGTTGCATCTCACAAGAAAATATTATGGGCCTAAAATAAACTAAGAAGACAAAATTTGTAACTATATTCAACAGCTTTCACAGCATCACTAATGAACTAAGCAGTTGATAAAATAAATATGTTAAAAGATGACAGTTATTTTTAAATACTTCAAAAAAAGGAAATATTTTTCATTTCAAGCTGAGCTATGTGAAAAGAACGTCAAATCTAAAAAACTCACGAAACAAAAAGTCATACGGGCCCGACCAGCGCTACCTTAGGTGAAAAAAAATTATAATTATAATAATAATGGCAAGAAAATTAATACTGAGTAACGTACCCAAGGAACTGGCTTTTGCTTTCCTTAGGTCGAGTGTGTTCAATTCGGATAGTGAGGGGTTCATCATGGCCTGTCGGAATGGTGTCTTCAACACCTCCATGTACGGTAATGGCGTGATAGGTATAAAGGTCTCTGACACCACAGATGCAGGACCTGCCATGAAACACCTGAGACCCTTATGCTGCCCCCTTCTCTTTATTATTTATATAAACGATTTGCCAAATATGTTCTCCTCAAATATCGAGACAATTATGTATGCTGATGACACCACATTTGGCATCAGTATCAATAAAGGGGAGTGTCCGGCTACAATACTTGGGGAAGTTATGGAACAAGCAAAAACCTGGTTCTTGACAAACAAGCTCATACTCAATGAAAAAAAAACCAAAAGTCTCATTTTCGAATCCAGGCTATTCTACAATGTAGAAAACGACCTAGACATGCTGCACACTAAATTTCTGGGTGTAGATATAGATGTCAGGCTATTATGGAACATACATATATATACAATTTGCAATAGACTAAATAGTGCAGTATTTGCTATAAGAAAAGTTAACCAATCTGCTGCAATAACTACTTATTATGCACTGTTCGAATCCATTATTAGATATGGCTTGTCTGTCTGGAGCTCGGCAGCTCAGTTTCATTTAAATGCTATATTCGTCATTCAGAAGAGGGCTGTAAGATGTATCATAGGAGCTAATTTTGAAGACTCCTGCAAACCAATCTTTAAAACGTTGAAAATAATGACACTTTACTCTCTGATAATTTTTGTAAAGTTACTATATGTCAAACAAAACATTAATAGTTACTCTGTTGTGTCCGATATACACGGTCACAATACTAGAAATAAAGATAATTTGATTTTACCTCAAACCCGGTTACAAAGAATGGACGATACTATTGATATTAAAATGCACAATGCCCTACCTCTTACAGTACATTCTCTGAACTATAGTAAATTTAAAAAACATTTAAAGACATTACTTACGGAAAATCCCCTATATGGTATTAATGACTTTTTCCATTCACTCCCGGGACCATAGAGCAAAGATGCCTTTCACAATTGTATGTATGTACTGTATTATTATTTTTATTACACTGTATCTTCTGAAGATTTTATATTTTACTTTTGGCATATGTTAATTTGATGGTATTTTGTGACATGTTCTAAAGCTGTAGCTTTGTTATGAACCAAATAAAAAATTTGAATTTGAATTTGAATTAAGAGTTATTTATTATTACCTTTGGCACTCCTACGGTATACTAAGTCCGTGGTTGAGAATGAGATGTGCCGTATTTATTGGAACTACTCATTCCCCACCCTCAGGCAAGATAATACGCCTGATGCAGTAACATGATATTCGTTGGATTGGAAGATGATGCGAGGAGATTACGGGGAGGAATCCTAGTCACTACCCTCTGATCTTAATACAATACCGTTAACTCAGGGAACACGATTTTCAGACCGAATGACCGTTTACTTCACGATTGTTGAGAGTGGTTAACGATGCTAGTACGCCCTTCGAATGGGTAGGAGCTTCGAGTACATGGCGTAACTTGTACTTGCTTTTTATCACATATTCGATTTCTTTCAATTTACCGTTATTTTGAATTTACCGTTAAGAAATTACACAGAATCTTATCTTCTCTACTCTATCCATTACTCCCGCCAAAAGTTATTCACTCTCTCTGCTAAATCAAAACACAGCGAGCAAAGATAGTTAATAGCTTTCGGTGGGAATGCTCTTCGATACACTTGTAGAAGAAACGTTCATATGTGTTTTATTACTTATTTTGTTGATCGTCTCATCTGTAACGTTACATTTATTATAGTCAGTTCCCCTTGATAATTTTTGAAGCAGCTGGTATATCGCAACGAAATTTGAAGAGTTAAAATAGGATAGAAGAAGCTAGGGATTTTTCCAATTTATTGAACAAATCTACCTGTTAATTCATTAGTGGTAATTTGTTTCACTGATTGTTATTTCTCCTGGTTTGTTTCCTCTTATGCATTTATTTCATCTTTAATTCACTTCTGAAATGTTTTTATTGACAACTTTTAAATGTGTTTAACTGGATACTGAGTACAATGTAAATTGTACTCAAAACTTCTACAGAAAAATCAACAATTAGTCTCTAGTATTTCAAGATCTTTTAAAATAGTACTTACTTTTATAACCAACATTTTCTCTTTAACTTCTTGGAACTCTAACATATTCTGTTCAGACATGATACCTAACCCATTCAAAGATTCTCGTTCTTGCATAATTTCTTCTGAAGGCTCTACAACAGCCACTTCAGTTTCTGACTCAATATCAAGATCTATACATTCAACAGAAGTTTGAACTGTGCTATCCTGAGCATCACTGAGTTTTCTTTTTTTAGTGTTTTTCTTCTTACTACCACTTTTTCTGTGCGCCCTCTTGATGGCCCCTGTTTTACCAAGATTATCGGTTCTGCCATTTTGTGTTTTTAGAGAGGATTTTTTTTCAATGTGTTTCGTTTTTTCATTTCCAATTTCGTCATCTGCTATTCTACTACATACTTCACATTGTGTGCTTTTCTGGAATTCACTAGTTGTTTTATCGGCCATCAAGAATTGAGAAAATAAGTTCTGACGATACTTCATCAACTCGGATATAAACTGATCTGTTACCATCATTCTCTGAACAGCTTCACGTAAATCTCGAGGCCTTTCACGAAAGTTTTGCTCTAAAAATGTCTTGACGGTCATGACATCCTCTACTTCTGTCTGAGTGGAACTACTACAATATTCAACTTTGTTTGTAGAATCAGACTCGTTCAATGTAGTGTCCGGAACTGAACAATTGTTTTCACAATCAGAAACCAAACACTTCTCTTCATCGTTCGGTAGAATCACTTCTGTGTTCATTATTGCATTTAGGTAATTATCATCTTCAATCTGTTTATCAAAATTATCTTTAACATCAGCTATAATATCTTGAGGTGCTGTATTCTCAGAATTTTGAGAATTCTCTTTAGGTTTATTAGATTCAAGAAGAGACACATCAATAACAGATGTACTGCCTGAGGGAATATCAACCTCAATTTCCTTCTTAATGTAAGGTTCATTCAAAGAAGGTTGAACAATTCCAGATGTTTCAGTAGCAGTTGCAATGACAGATGGAATTTCAACTGTTTCACTTTCCACTACTTTTTTAATATCTGATTCATCCATTTTGGGCTGAGCTACAAACTCGTGTTGGGCTGTTATTGTGGGCTGAGCTGTTACTGTAGGCTGAGCTGTTATTTCAGGCTGAGCTGTTATTTCAGGCTGAGATGTTATTTCAGGCTGAGCTATTATTTCGGGCTGGGGTAGTATTTCAGATTGAGTTATTATTTCGGACTCAGTTTTTAGTTTAGATTCAGCTATTATGTCAGAGTGAGTTTTTATTTCGGGTGTGGCAATTATTTCGGTTGTTGCTATTTTTTCAGGATGATTTGTTATTTCATTTTGGTTTATTATTTGCGACTGAGTTTCTATTTTGGGTTGAGTTATTATTTTAGGCTGAATTATTATTTCTGGCAAAATCCATGAGACTTCATGTTCTTGTTTAACTTTGTAGCTTTCTTGATTCCCTACATCACTACTTGAAGAAAAATTACCAGGTAGACTGTTGTCTGTGCTACTCTCAAGTTGATCATTGGATCGAATTTGTCTTTGACTTGGGAATTGACTGGATTCTTCTCCGAAGAACATATCAGAGTTTAATAATACTTCACTGGTAGTAGCCTCTACATTGGTCGTGGGGCCTGCACTAATGATAGGGTCTATAATGGTAGTGGAACCTAAACTGCTGGTGAAATCTGAGCTAATGGTTGAGCTTGCACTGATGGTGGGACCTGAACTGGTGGTAGGGCCTACACTCAAAGTAGGGCATATACTAGTTATAGGACCAATATTCGCCATGGCATCAACACTGGTTGTGGGATCAAAATCGGTGGTAAGATCAATAATGGTAGTAGAACCATGACTGTTGGTTGGATCTAGACTGCTGGTTGTGAGACCTACGAAATAACATATTTATTCATGTATTCCATCAATAAACGGGGTAGAAAAGTATTATTGAAAAATTTTAAAGCAAATGAACACCTACAGCTAAAAAATTGTTGAAAAATATATCGAGAGATGAGACTTACAATTAGGTATCTAAAAATTTGTCAAATTTCATAAATGAGCCTAAAATCAAAGTACATTTTAAACCTGCTAATGAAAACAATGACTTAGTGATATATCTGAATATAAAAATATAAACTAGATACTCAGCTTATGATGCACTGTTTGGAACCTTTGGTGTAGTAATGAATATTACTGGAGTTTTTTCCCAACACCAAAACGTGATTTTCAACACCTCGACACGTGTTTCGATCACCAAGTGATCATCTTCAAAGAGGAAGATTAAAACTCGAAACTAAAGCTAGCTAACCCTATTTATGCTATATATGTATCCTATACAGGTGAACCATCCAGACGTAATACCCATACAGGTATACCAACCTAAATTAATTTTACAATTTTGCCTTATCTATTATTTTACAATATATGTTTTTATAAAACAATTTTCAGCTATATAAATATTAATTTCACAATATTGCCTATCTAAATTTATTTTTGCAATGTGTCCTTATATAGTAATCAGTAAACCCAACAATATTATTTCATTTCAACAAACTATATAGAATGCTCTTTGGTATAGGTCCGTCATCGTTATTCATAATATTTCTACACTCTCATAGACATCTAGTTGCCTGTTGTTTTTAACTTGTCTAACTAATCTTAATGAACTGAAGTCTATGGAATGGTTTTGTTGCAAAATATGATTGGCGACTGCTGATTTTTCAGGTCTTCCATATTTTAAGCGTGCTATGTGTTCCTTATATCGTACTTTAATAGATCTTTTTGTCTGTCCATAATATTTTGCATCGCAGTCCTTACATTCAATTTCGTAAATTCCAGACTTTTCCAAATTCTCGACTTAGTCTTTTGGACTTCCCAAAAGGCTCTGTAGTGTATGACTTGTTTTAAAAACCACCTTCATACCTAGTTCCTTGAAAATCTTTCCAAAGTTCCTCGTATATTGGTGGTATAGAACTGAGATGTATTTATCTTGGGTTTTGTCCTTTCTGAAAGTCGAGATTTCGGTCATTCTTAACCTAAAAACATATATTGTAAAATAATAGATAAGGCAAAATTGTAAAATTAATTTAGGTTGGTATATCTGTATGGGTGGTACGCCTGGATGGTTTATCTGTATGGGATACCTACATTGCATAAATGGGGTTAGCTTCGCATTAGTTTCTAGTTTTAATCTTCCTCTTTGAAGATGATCACTTGGTGATCGAAACACGTGTCGAGGTGTTAAAAATAACGATTTGGTGTTGAAGAGGAAGATTAAAACTTTTAATCTTCCTCTTTGAAGATGATCACTTGGTGATCGAAACACGTGTCGAGGTGTTAAAAATAACGATTTGGTGTTGGGAAAAAACTCCAGTAATATTCATTATTTAGATACTCAATTGCGTTGAAAGATAAAATAATTATAATGTGCTACACTCCAACAACCAATTTGAATGAAGATATCAAGAAGTAAATCCCAAAACTCCTTGGGCACCATTTGCCCACATTATATTCTAACCAGAGACAACTATTATGAGCTGTATTAAATATACAACAATGAGGAAGACAAAGAGAGATATAGAAAAGCTAGACATGATATGGTGAAAGTAATTAGAGAACTGTAACCAGAGACAACTATTATGAGCTGTATTAAATATACAACAATGAGGAAGACAAAGAGAGATATAAAAAAGCTAGACATGATATGGTGAAAGTAATTAGAGAACTGTAGCGAATTTTTTATCAGAGCAAAATTGACAGATGTGAAGGACATCTAAAGCAAATGTGGAAAACACTAAAATCATTACTAAAATCATTTATTGCAAATGCAATAACAACATACACTAAACTGGAGGTCGATGATGGGAAATAACTTGATGATATCGAAATGATTCCAGATAGACTCAATACATTTTTCATTGAAAGTATTAGCGAAATAATCAAAATAATTGATGTTGATTCACATCTTGATGTGATTCATATCTTGATGTGATTCATCCAAATAATACAAATGTATGCCTGAACAAATTCAACCTCATCAACTATGAAGAACTTTCGATATATTGTTTTCAATGAAAAATAAAAGAAGTAGCGACGACATCACAAAGAAGTTGAAAAAAAATTTATATGAGAGTATAAAGCATTCATTACTGAATCTTGTCAACAGTTCTCTGGAGTCAGTTGAATTCCCAAGTATGCTCAAAGTGTCAACCACAATCCCAGTTCCAAAATTCAAATATAGGAAGTGACTTGAGGCCAATGAACACATTATTTGCAATAGAGAAATTGTTAGAGTTGCCTATATACAAAATTTCGTCAGAATATCAGTCAAGCTTCAGATGTAGACATATCTGTGAAACTGCAGTACAGAATGTTATATTTGATTGTAAAATGTGGGTGAATTAATAAAATAATTGGACTAGTATTTCTAGATATGCGACAGGGATTTTTGATGGTAGATAGATAAAGACTACTCTTGAAATTACAAAATTATAAAATATTTGTTATCGTTTTAAAATGGTTCGAAGACTATCTCGGTTAGAGAAAGTAAGTAGCAAAAGTTAATAATATAGCTGTAAAATTAGTCTTTTTGCCGATGATACTCTTATATTCTACTGTTCTCATAATGTAAATGAACTGGTGGCCACTCCTAATAATGAACTAATAATGACCAAGAAGTATATTAGCTAATGCTAAATAAAGGATGTAATAAACCTGTCTCAATGTCATCATTCAGAAACTCTTTCAAAAAACTTTTACTTTGAAAAATATTTTACTGTCAAGACTAACTTGCTTGATGTTTGGTAACATGATGGTCCGTTTATGTATTTATTTACTATACTTATGTTTCGAGTAGTCACCATTTAGATTTACTTCAATATATTTTTTTTCATTACATAGTCAGTATGCTAATTATAGTAATGTTTGGTCTGTCGTAATGTATGAACTTTCATGTATTCTGTTTAAAAAAGGGGTTACCCGTGTACGTAATAAAAAAGTAAGTGAATGAATAAATAAATAATTGCAAAGGACAATTCAATTAGATTAGATCAACAACATACACAATAGGTAGAGAACTCACAAGTACTGCTTGGAATTTCAAAACCAGATCAGTTGATAATTGAACAAAACATTTAAAACTGAGTAACATTAATTTTAAGATTTTTTGGAAACAGTTAAATTGTAGTTAGCTAGTTGTAGTTCTCAAAGTGACCCAGTGGATTTGAATACACTATCAATAATACAAGAAATTTTAAAAATAGTTGTCTCGAAAGTAAAAAAATTATAGGCTTTGGCTTTCAGATGTGGCTATTTCTAATGAAATCTCAGTTTATTTTCACTTTCCATTAAAAGTTCTGTCAAAAGAATAGTTTTATACACTTATTTCATTTCAATTCTCATTCTGTTCCAGACATTTGAAATGAATCGAGATCAGCAATTATGGAACAATTTTGACTAAACACAATTATTATTATGTGAAATTCTGTCACTAGAATGTTCAACATTAAATAAAGTTTGTGAAATTTTTACTCACCCCAGGTAGGTGCATTAGCAAATGTTTCAAAATATTCTATCCCTCCATTATCTATATCAATATCGAAGGTGTTCTGTAACTCCTTCAGTAGCTCCTGCGGCAATTCCTCTATTTTGATTCCAATATCGGGTATGATAGAATTAATGATGTCGGTAGATTTTTCCAAGTTTGAAGCCTCACCACACATATTCCTAAGAGCTCTAGAAATTTCTATACGTTTCTGTTTCACGATTTGTTCTATGGCCTCGTCATATCCAGACTCCGTAGAATGTATGAGATTTCTCTTCTTGCCATTGTTCATATTACTCAAATGATGCATTATCTTGTCATGGATTTTCTCAGCACTATCACAAACAAGTTGTTTCTTGGTTTTCTTTTTTTTCTTAGGGCCTTTAGAGGATTTTTCTTTCATTAGCTTAGGAGCATTCTCGGAAATTTCAAGGGGTTTATTTTTTGTTTGTGAATGACTCTCAGTTATCGATACTATACTCTCCTCGGGGCTCAATAATTTTCTCATAATTATGGCACTAGTTTGTTTAATTTTCAAATTCATGTGCTCTTCACTGCCCAAAACTGGAGAGGTAGGTCTTGATACTGTCTTTTTTTTATATTTTTCTCTGAAAGTAGAGTTGTAGCGAGATTCCTGACGGAAATCTAATTTATAACGGGATTGCGAATGGTATGATCCATATTTGTATCCATATTTGGATTGATTACCATTTTCAAACCTGAAAAAAAAAGTTGATTTAGAAAATATCAGGCTTCTACAAAATGAAATGAATAATGAGAAGTATATGGATGTCACAAAAAATAAATAAATAAATTAAACTAATAAGTATAGATACAGATGCACTCATATGCATATATTAAAATTTACTATATTCTTTGATGTCCTGCAATAACGCTTGTTTGAAAGTGTGAATACATCTATTGTTTCTCAAAGAACCAGACAGTTTGTTAAATTCCACTAGTCCTCTGAAAAACAGACTATTAATTGCTGGCCTTAAGTTTGTCCTGGATACATGGAAGCATATATTGTTTCTAGTGTCATATTAGTGCACTCCATTGTTAACTTTAATTAATTTATTGAAATAGCTAGGTTGAACACCCTTAATTATTTTGAATATAAGAGCCATATTCAGATAATAAGGTCTGTTTGAGATTGATAACCAGTGAAGAGAATCGAGCATAGTCTTTATAGGAGTAAGTCGATTGCATCTCAAAATTATAAGCATACCTCTGTTTTGCAGTTTTTGTAGTTGACATATCAAGTGTCAGTGTTCTATCAATCATGAAACCTAGATATTTCATCTCGGTAAGAATTTCAAGATATTCATTTCCTATTTTGATGTTCACTGTATCATAGTCAATTTTATTCAACTTATATTTAGATCCAGTTTTCATCATTTTGCTTTTATTTACATTTAGGACAATTTAATTGCTCAGTAAATATTCAACAGTTGCATCATGCATCTCCTCTATTGCATTATTAGTGAATAAGGAGAGTTTGACAACGACACTTAGACATTCAGGAATCTACCCTTTTCACATCTTATAATAACAGGAAAGGTTAGAGTTAACCAAACGTGGTTGAATACCAAATACTTATAGGACAGAAGATAGAAAATGTTGTCAATGTTGTCTTCCAGAGTTGCATTCATAAACTTACTCAGAAGTGATCTTATTCTGAATCAGTCGTAAACATGCTCTAGTATTATAAAACTCGTATTTTGCGATATAAGAGAATTAAATCCGACTGGTAGGGTCGAATGAAACCTAAAGTACCAAACTTTTCATCTGCTACTGTGGCAGACTTCAGTGGTATATGTGTTGACAGCAAGGACTAAGGTTATATCTCGAAGTCTCAGCAACAACTGGTTTGTTACTGATGATTGAGGAAAGTTTACTGCAATTATCTATCTGGCTTGTCCAATTCAAAGTATCATTAATTTGAACACCTAAAAATCTCTCTGGCGTGTTACATATTTTCTGCAGTTAGGCAGTCAGTTTTTTCTTTATTTAAAGTCAGTCTAATTTCCATGATTTCAAAAACCACGATTTGATCTCAACAAAGTTTGTGGAGATCTATGGATCTTCATCAAGTAACGGCCGAATTAATCAGATAATTCCCATGAAATGATCTTTGATTTTATGTATGTACCTATTTTCAGTTCTAATTATGTAAGGCAAGTTAGCACCTGTTAATACAAGTTTGTTATCACCGGCACAACTTATGACAATAGCTTCATTTGTGTCTTAAAATAATCTTGTTTAAGTCATTGAAGAATATAATAAACAGTATTGGACCAAATATACTGCCCTGTGGAACTCAAAAGAAGTATCCAAAGCCTCAGATCGTACTATGTTTTGATTCTGATTTGAGTTCAAATACTTTTCTGTTCTTCAGGTATGAGGAAATCCAGTTATATGAGTTATCATGGATTCCATGTTTGAAAAGTTTAGTCACATTTCTGAGTAATGTAGCTACATATTATTCCGACTTGAAACTAGTAGTTGTAATAAGCCATAGATAATTCAAACATAAGGCACAAATGAGCCACAGCAGTACGATTTTTTTTTTATTAGGAAAATTCATTAGTACCTGTCATGATTATTGAACTGGGAGTTATGCTTATAGGGCCAATTTCCATAGTGTTGAAATCTGTTTCTGTTGAAACCTTGTCCACTATCCGAGTGAAATGTATTTTTCGGATCTCTTTTCTTAATTTTCACCATTTCTCCGTTTTCTTATAAAACGTAATTCTTGAGAGAAAACTTTTGAGGAAAATATAGTTGAAATATGTGTTTGTTTTGGAATTGATTTTGTAGGTTATATTTTGTAGGATTTGTGACATAGAAAATGAAAACTGTTATCTGGCATAAAACAGTTAGAAACAAAAGCCACAGACAACCTTTACCAGTGATTAAAGCAGTTCTACCGCTGAAAGTGAAAAAAAAATTAATGAATCTAGTTGTTGGAAAACTTAAATCGCCTTCTCCTTCGCTGAATGATTGCACTGCAATCATTGCAGTGTATTATCTGACAGCAGTGTTGCATGGAGGGTAAAGAATTTGGTAATATTTTCTCAGAATTCAGAATCAAAACTAAAGAAAGTAATAGATTTTAAAGTATCAAATGGCCGGCCGTAGCTTGGGCGAAATTTTTCAGAAATATATTACGTTTTGTCAAAAATCTTATTTCTTTTCGAAGCCAATTCACGTTAAATCGGCAATATCAAGATTTCTTTTATAGCACATTATTTTCCGAATTAGGTACTATATTTCTGACATTAGTGTCAGTTGTCACTAATTATTCCATGCAATTGCTCTCGAATCATCACAGGGCCAGTTGTATAGGTCTCGTTTATAGTTCAGTTTAAACTTGGGTTTAAGCTTATATTTGAACTTAGGTTTAAACAGATAAAATGCTAAAATATCTTTTGTATATCTTCCAGTTAAAGACTCGTAGACACATTGACAAAGTGACAAGTGAATTGAAATTGACCTGCCGTCGTACATTGACGTAAATGTCGTAAATGCCATATGCAATTTGTTTCATAAGTTCATAATCTAACTCTGTAATAAAATGGATTGCGTGAACTACACTAACAGAAGGTCATCCAATTTTTCCAAGCAGCAAGTGGAGGAGCTATCACGGCTGGTGAAAATCCATAAGGACATTCTGGAGTCCAAGAAAAGTGACGCCGTGACATGGAGGGAAAAGGAGGAATGTTGGCAAAAATTGTGCCTGGAATTTAACATAAGCAAGAACACGAAAGAACCTCGTACCTCCAAAGTCCTCAAGGCAAAGTGGGAAAATGTAAAAAAGAACACGAAGAAAAAATTTGCAGCAGAGAAAGAGGGGGAGGAAAAGGGAATGTTCCCCACATTACAACACAGGATGATGATATGAAGGAGATCATGGGCATTGCTGTTACGGGTTTGCGGGGCTACTTTGACAGAGATTATATTGATGTGTCGATTCGCGTTAGAAAAAGTCGGGGTCTTCTTGGGTTTTCCACAATATTTATAACATCTATCTCATCTTCCTCTTCAAATAATATATCTTCAAATATTTCAAATATGTCCATTATGAAAACATGAAAATATCTGGACGCGTCAAATATTTATAGGTTATAGTACATAAAGTAACCACAAATAGTTGACACCTCAGTATTCAATCCGAACATGTGTTTAACCGACGCTTGTAGTTTAACTGCCCCTCCATCCATCAGTTGACAGTTAAACTCCGAATGGCAGTCACAAACACCTATACAACGAACTTTATTCGTTAAACCAAAGTTTAACTAAGACGTGTGGTTTAAACTGAACCTATACAAGTGGGCCTCAGTGAACGAACTACAAATGAAATTCAAAAATAGAAAAACCTATCATAAGCGACATATCCTACAATCATACAGAATAACCATTTGAAAAAAATAAATTTAGGTGAAATTCATGTGGTTCATTTAATTTTGACCAGGAATTATTTTTATAATGATGGCTATTATTCACGAGGTAAAGTTTACGGCCACGAGCCGTAGGTGAGTGGCCTAAATCACCGAGAGAATAATAGCCATTATATGCGGATAAAATACTATGTTTTATCCACGAATAATAAACATTTTTGTTAAAGTTTTTTTTTGGGAAATTTTGTAACATTACATACATATTTTTAAAAACACTATTATTTTATTCCGACAAATATTTCATACAATACATTATTGTTCATGTATACACAATGCATAGTTATCGAATTATAGTCAACTAAATAACCTTGAATTAAAGAATGTAATGAAATAACTATGTGAAAGATTTATTCAATATCTTACCTTTCATAGGCCATATTATAAATTTTCTTTGACTTTTCGGGCAATTAATTTAGTGAGGAGGCAGCTTTAGCAGCTTCTCTAATTTCTGGTGGTGTTGAAGAAAAGTCATTTTCATTTCTATATCCATTTTCAGTTCGTTTTTCAACACAATTTTTATGAAAAACAGAGAAAGCTATGTACACAAACAATATTGACAGGTTATGGTCAAATTTGTTTTATTTCAGAAGTTATTTCGATGTATGAAATGTTTCGAGATGTATGTTGAGAAACAGATATGACACGCACATTCCAAAGTCATTGATAGCTTAGTGAAGATGTTTCTCGGGTCAGGGGTTCGATATGCAGGTACAGAACTGAATCGAGAATATTAGGTGGTTTACACGATAAAATTTAAAAAACCGATTGTTTGTAGCAAAACAATATAATAGTTTGAATTGAAGGGGTTATATTTTTAGGAGTGATTAATTTTTGGGAAAGAAAGTTTTTGGCTTTCAATTCAAATAAGATTCCTCTTGGCTGGGATTAAATCAAATAGGTGAATGAATGACATTACGATGTCATCGATGACATAAGCAGATCAAGCTTATTCCGTGACATTAAAAATCGTAATTCATGAATGAACTGTGTGTATTTTCTATAATATTATCCAATTTGGTACTGAAGAGCCTTGTGGCAAGTGTCTTAAGGCGAAACATCGGTGTATACCAGTGAGGGTGACAGTGTTCCATGTAAGTGCAATTTATTACCATTCATTTAAAGTAGAACTCATGTGAATGATATCTGATTTTTATTCCACAACGAATGTTTGAAATACAAACTGAGTAGAGAAAAGTATCTTCTGAATAATTCAGTGTTCATATAGAAGTATTTGTTTCGAAAGAATTTTTTCTTTCGTGTAATTAAATGTTTATATGAAAGTAGTTGTTTCAGGAGGACTTTCTTTCAGTTTGTGTCTGAAAGTTACTTCTTTGCATCATCTACACATCCATAAAATTAATTACTTCCTTCTTTTCCTTGGAAGATTTCCTCATCCTGGTTTTTTGTATCAAGATGGAGTAGTAGAAAGCCAAAAACTTCCTTTCCCAAAAAATATATTAGTATAGCTAAATTAAGGAAGCATCTGACATCAGTGATAAATTACTCATCAATCACAGCCGTGAATAATGGGTGTATATACGTATAATAGGTATATTATACAATAGTCGTGGATACAATTTTTTTACAGTATTGTCACACGGAAACGTTTCAATAAATCACTAAATAACTGCTATTTCTGCATTACCCAATTCATAAATGGAATTATATACCGGGTGTCCCACATTTTATGTGACAGGCAATATCTGGTTTGTTGAAGGAGATACACAAAACTGTTTCATACAAAAGTTTTAGGAGTTCATGAGAGCTATATTTTGATATAATTTTTAAATATACAGAGTGTTTGGTGTAGGTGCTACAGACCAAAATTCCATTTTTTAAAATAGAACGCCCTGTATATCATTACATATTCAGATGCTACGTTAAATTTTGATATCATTTCATGTTTGGTTTTTGAAATTCGGTTACGGCATTGTTGAGTTATGATACTAAATCGTTAAAAGTAGCACTGAATGCAACCATCTTCATTTAGAGGTTTGCATTCAAAATGGAAACAGGCGATATCGTATTATCTCTACCATTCAATATGCCCTACTGAAAAAATCATTTAAATTCTTCAATTATATTATTATTTACTTAAATGAAATGGGTTTGTAGGTTTTGGCAGTTGTAAGTGATATGGATTCAAATCATATAAAATCTGTTAACTCTTTAGGTTAGGCTAGGGTTAATTCCAAGTGAACACTAGAACAGAACAAGACATTTTCAAGAACCACTTGAAACCGAAGTGACATGTCTCGACGACGGAGTCGTAATCTATCAAGTAACGGCCGAGTTCATCAAATATCTGGTACAAGTAATATTGTATTGTGCCTAATTGTTCATTCAAAATCTATATGTTTTACTACGTAGAATAGTTTGGTGCACCAGTAACTTGAAGCTTCCGTGCAGCAGAATGCGTTTTAAATGAAATTTATTGTGAAAATTCCATTATTATCATCATGGATAAAAATGGAATATTTTTTGCGCCAGGCGGGCATACTTGAATTATTTTGATAATCGATTTATCAGTAATCAAATTGTTTGAATAATCGAATTATTATTCGAATCATAAATCACATTATAAATCACTTAGTTCACAGTGGTGAACTAAGAACGTCGTTTCATTTGCTTTTAATATGTGAATTTCATGAGTTCGGACTTCTAGCGTCTGATACGATATAAAATGTTTTGAAATTCCTATAAGAATCAATAAAAAATAGTAGAAAATAACAATTGTATCAGGTAAAAAACCCTGAACCACCTTCAATCATTTTTATATATTGAGAATGTATTTTGATGAAAAGAAAAATGAAAATGTATATGTTTTTCACCACTTTTATTTGTAACTAACGTAACTGCAGTTTCGTCCTATACAGACATTCTCAAACTTATACAATAAGTTTGTATAAGTAACGTTAGTTACAAATAAAAAAGGTAAAAAACATAAAAATGTTCATTTCTTTTTTCATCATGATCTCCTACCACGTAGTAACGGCTACATCCTTCAATTTATTTTGAGTTTGTGAATTTATTGTTCTTTGAGTTCTGGTTGACCTTTCCATCCATTCTTCATCAGATAAATCAGTGCCGACCGTCCTGAGTTGGCTTCGGTACCAGTTGTGTTTTTTTGACATTACATTTATTCCAGATTAGATCATTCTGACCAAAAGTTATTTGCTGTCCTGCTCGATCGAATAACATCCAGTGGAGAATAATTTTTGTCGGAAATAGCCCAATCTAGAAGTGCCCCATAAAAGTACCCATTATCAGTGGTTGACGTGAAAATGATAATTAATATATGAAAAACATTCGTGATTCTGGTAAAAGCATTCGTGATCAGCTACATATTCAAGTTCGGCGATGCAAATAATGTCAAGTGAATTCCCGAATTCTAATCTTTGTT